ATTCCTCATCTTTTTTGCTTGGCTCAAATATCAGTTCACCTCTCTAATCAAAACTAAATTCTAAGTCCAGGTATGGTGATGGATATCTGTAATCCCAGCACTCAGGAGGCTGAGGCAGGAGAATTGCCAAGTTTGAGGCCAGTCTGGACTACATAATGAGTTGCAGGCCAGTCTGTGCTATATAGCAAGATGCTGTTGAAAAAAAGAAAGAAAGAAAGAAAGAAAGAGGGAGGGAAGGAGGGAGGGAGGAAGGAAGAAAGAAAGTCAGTCCACTGAGTCTACAGGTATACTTCCTTCATAAAACCATCAGTACCATTCAGTTATTTCACACCAGGACGAGTAAAATTGTTCAGTCTTCATTCAAATTACATGAACATCTGTTTTGATGGATCAGTAGGCACCACTGTGAAATATTTTGAATATCACCGTTGCATAGAATCTGTTTTTTTTTTAAATAATCGCAATCAATTGACATGTATATGTATATACACATAAGTATATTAAACAGAAAGGGAGAGAGAAAAAGAGAGAGGGAGGAGACAGTGTGAAAAAGTGAGCTCTGAGAGAGGCTTTTCTTCACTATACTATATGTTCCATATGTGCAGAGATATATGTTTTATTCATCATTGAATACCCAGCACCTAATAGTTGGCACACAGTTGGTACACAATGAGTATTTGTTGAAAGAATGAGTGAATCTCAAAGGGCACACCCTGGAAAAATTAGACTGGAGATGCAGCTATGAGGCTGGGTTCTGATAGGATTGAAAATTGTTTCGGCACCTTGGGTAGGGTGGGGTGCATTGAAAAGAGGAGAGTGTTTATAGGGCTGTTCCTCTCTTTTGCCCACCTGAACTGCTGGAGGTGACAAGGTAGCAAGGGACAAAAAAAACTTGTTTCCTCCTCCCACACTGTTTCACTCATCTCTCTGGCTGGCTTAGTTTTCCTCATGGGGCTGATTCTGTGGTCTGTCTATATGCAAGTGTACCCAATGTAGCCTGGCACCATGGGAAGCTGGAGTTAGGAAGACAGGTAACCTGAATTCTTTAGTTATAGTGATGCTTGAAGGTCTAGTCTTCTGGTCTAGTTTCCTCTTCCCATTTCATATTTGGGGTCCCTAAACCCCTCTGCTTTAGAGCCTTGGGCCCCTCATTATCTGTAGTTTATTCCCTTTCAACTCTGTGCTGAGCTTATGTATTTATTTACTGAGGCAGGGTCTCATTATGTAGCCCAGGCTGGCTTGGAGCTCCTTATGTAGTCCAGGTTAGCCTTGAATTTGAGATCACTGGTGTGCACCATCATGCCTGGCTATATTAAATTTAATCAATACATAAAAACATAAAAACATTTGTATTTATGGGGTACCACGTGACATTTTGATACATGTGTACAGGGTGTGTATCTATCTCTTCAAACATTTATCATTTAATTTTTATTGGCAAATATTAGTTGTACAGGGGAATTTAATTGTGATGTTTATTTACATATGTGCTTATAATGTATCTTAATTAGACTCACCCCCTCCATCATTCTCCCTCATCCCCACTCTCTCCCTGCCCCTTCTTTGAACAATTTCAACAGATTCTTTTTTTTTTTTTGTGATACTGGATCAAACATAGGACCTCATGCATGCGAGATGCAAGGCAAACACTAAACCACCATGCTACATCCCCAGCCTTTTTTTTGGCAGCACTGAGTTTTGAACTCAGGGCCTCACACTTGCTAGGCAGATGCTCTTACTGCTTGAGCCACTCTGCCAGCCATTCTTTTGTGATGAGTTTTTTTTGAGACAGGGTCTCTTGAACTATTTGCCTGGGGCTGGCTTTGAACTAAGATCCTCCTGATCTCTGTCTCCTGAGTAGTTAGGATAACAGATATGAGCCACTGGTGCCTGGTTTGCTTTCTTTTTAAGAGATGAAGCATTCAAAGTTCTTCTAGATTTTGAAATCTTCAGTACATCATTGTTAGCTACAGTCACCCTATGGTGCAGCAGCAATCAGAATTTACTGCTAACTGCAACTTAGCAATCATATTTCTCTTTTTATTAAAGACAGGGCTCAAAAGGAAGAGTGTTTGCCTAGCAAGCTCCAGACCCTGAGTTCAAACCCCATTACCTAAAAAAAAAAAAAAAAAAAAAAAAGTCCCAGCCTCAAGTTGATTCTGCTGTGGACACTAGTTGGAAAGAATCAAGTTAAAATTCACAACCACTCCCCTTTTCTATATTGCCTAAGCATTTCTCCTAGTCGGATGGGGAGCCTTGTAGAAGATAAAAGGAACTGAGAATGAGAAACTTTTTTAGCTTCTGGTCCTGTTCAACTTTCACAAAGGAGGTATGGCAGATGAGACAGCACAGTGGGGAAACTTCCAGAGGAAGGACATAACATATGGACATAACATATGCATTCCCTAATCTGAGCCCCTGCTCTAACTCTATATAATCTGTGATTCTGGGGTCCTCCAAAACACCCCAACTACTGCATCCTTACAAAGTTTCTGCGGGAAATCCTATAGCAGTGTAGCTCAGTGCTACAGGTACAGCATGTGCATGTAGGAGTTCAATCCCTAGTACCTGGAGAAAAATAAAAAAACTTTCCGTGGGGAAATAAGCAAGATCACTTTTAAGACCCACGCCTTAGAAGGGGACAATGTGGTTGGAAGGGTGTTACTTACGTGGCCTTTGTAGATGCTTTTACATGAACTGTGAACACAAGTGACCAAATAAATGGCCGGGGGATGGGGATGTTCTAAGCAACAGGGCCAAATTTAGTTATAGAGTACTGGTAACAGAGAACCGGATGAACCACCTAGGCCCTGCAAAACCCTGCCTTTCGTTTCCCACCCCCTCTCCCCCGCGTTCCTTTAGGGAAAGTTTGTCAGTACCCCACACTCTCCCTGCATGAGGTCACTTTGCCCCGTCACGTGCTCAAGCCCGCGGGAGCGCCACATCGCCAGCCGCACCCCTCTACCCCCACCACCCACGTGACACGGCCCAGTTTCTCCAAGCCCCGCCCAACGCCTCGCCCGGGAAGCCCCGCCCCACGCCGCGCGCTCCGCCTGAGCCCCTCCGCCCCTCATCCGCCCGGGCTAGCGCGTGGCCCTGGGATCCACGTGTTTCTCCTTGTCCAATCAGAGTTAGCGCTAGGGCGTGGAGGGGCGGGGAGGAAGGGGACGACTAGGTTGCGTTGCATGAAGGGGGCGGGACCTGCAACGTCGGCCAGAACGAGGGGACGCAACGGAGGCAGGCCGGAGCCGCTGCTGTCGCCATGACCCGTGAGCACTGAGATCTTTCTTTCTGCCCTTTTCTTTACATTCACCATAAACACGACCGCCGAACTGCCGGCTTTGACCTCGTAGCTTCCCCAGCGAGGCCTTTCTCTCGGAGCGCTCTTTAGCTGTCCTTAGGCACAGAGCCCGGAAATGGAGCCCTTTGCCCACAGCCACTTCCTGAGACCCCTCTGTTAGGCATAGGGCCTCATCGACCTTCCGCTGTGTGGGAAGCCTTCAGTCCCAGTGGGAGGTCCGGCGCCTCCTACTCCCGAATCTAGCCCATCCCCCAAAGAGACCCAAACGGTCCACACACATCGCACCACCTGTCTGGGCCCCCACGCCTCCCCGAAACTTGAAACACGCTTCCAGCTGCCTCCTGGGTCGGACTCCTTCCTTCCACCCCGCAGTCTGACCTGGCCCGTGGCAAGCCTCCTCTCCTCCCCCCTCCCCCCGTTCCCTGCCAGCAGCCAGGCCCGGGGATTGCAGTGTCCGGGGAGGGGGAGAAGGGTCGCCGCTGTGTGTCCCGAGCGGTCCCGGCTTCTCACTTCTTACCCTCTTTTCTTAGGCGGTAACCAGCGTGAGCTCGCCCGCCAGAAGAATATGAAAAAGCAGAGCGACTCGGTTAAGGGAAAGCGCCGAGATGATGGGCTTTCTGCTGCAGCCCGCAAGCAGAGGTAGCCCCAGGGAGGGGAGGGGACAGGGGAGACCTGGGTTAGCCAAGGGTTGTACTAGGAAAGAGCGCTACTCAGGGCCTGAATCTGGACTAATCGCGAGGGGAAGAGTGTAGTGCTTCCTCTAGGATTTTATTTCCTCCCCACTTTCCAAATTGTTAGGTCACAACCTTACAGGAAGAGACTGGGGCCGGTCCCTGCCCTTAGTCTGATTTCTGAATGCCCCTGTGTGTGACCTTAAGGGCAAGGGCAGGGAGCGTCACTTACCAAGTACAGTTAAGGTTATGACTGCCCAGTACTTTGGCCCTCCGTGCTGTTCGCTTCTCCTCCCTTTTCCCAACTTCTGACTGGTGTAGCTGGGTGTGGTACTCTGCACAGAATAGAGAGCCTTGGGCCTGTGTGGCCAGACTTCTGACCCTTGGGCAACAGCCAGATGGAGACTGATTACCTTTTGAGCCTCAGCTCTATTCCTCTTGTTCTCCTAGGGTGGGAATACAGCAGCCACATGCTGAACTTTGTCCCAACCACTTCCATCTTATCCTTTGTGCCCTTCATCCCCCTGCATCTTGTCCCTTTTGCCCTCTGGTACCTCCCAGTGCCCCATCATCTCTACCCCCAGGGACTCGGAGATCATGCAGCAGAAGCAGAAAAAGGCAAACGAGAAGAAGGAGGAACCCAAGTAGTTTTGTGGCTTCGTGTCCAACCCTCTTGCCCTTCGCCTGTGTGCCTGGAGCCAGTCCCACCATGCTCGCGTTTCCTCCTGTAGTGCTCACAGGTCCCAGCACCGATGGCATTCCCTTTGCCCTGAGTCTGCAGCGGGTCCCTTTTGTGCTTCCTTCCCCTCAGGTAGCCTCTCTCCCCCTGGGCCACTCCTGGGGGTGAAGTGGTTACCCCTTCCCAGTGTTTTTTATTCCTGTGGGGCACACCCCAAAGTATTAAAAGTAGCTTTGTAATTCCTTGAGCGCCTGGTTTGACTGGGGATTGGGGGGGGGATGGGGATGGAGGAGTGACTGCCCTTTTCCACCAAAAGGGGAAAGCTCTTTAGACTCTTAAGAAAGAGATTGTGGATCTGTAGACTTAATAAGTGAAACATCACAGAAGAATCCTTTATTTTACTATTAGAGCCAGAAAAGCAATCCAATTATGTGGTAGAGGAGTCCTTTAAGAAACATAGACTTCTTTTCTGTGATTTTTGTCCTCCACCCAGACCTTGAACACCATCCTGAGGATGGAGTTGAGGACCTAAGAGGGAATGTTCCAAAACCTAAGTTTATGCCTCTCTTCCTCCTCATTCTTCCTCAGTTTGTCTGTCTGCTTGAAAGTTAGCCAAAAAATCCTGCTCACCAACTTCAGTTGTCAGCTGCTCTTAAGTGTTCCTATTTCTCTTTTGTCATTCCTTGTGGAATGAGGGTGGTTTTTGTCTTCCCACTTCCTTTGACCCTCAACATCAGGATTAAAACCTGGGGTAGCCTTTGAACTCTTTTCTTCCTTTGCCCTGGTTTGTTCTGTGGTTCTGGGCTTCTTATATCCCTGTGCCCAGGACCAAACTGCTCATTTTCTTTTTTTATCTCCAAAGGCAGACCCAAGTCTTGAGACCCTGTTGTCTTTCCCTACCCCCACCTCCAGCTCAGGAGCCAGGAAGGGACTGGTGCCACACTGTCTGCTCGGATCAAGCAGTGGTACCTGAGCTGATTTTGAGTTAGGCTCTTGAGCTGGGATGAAGACATAACGGTATCTCCAGTGAGTCAGAAGCTGCCCATGGCATTAGGGTGTGTTTGACCACTTCTTCCAGTTATGTCCTTTAGGTGCTGAACTCCCCATAGCCAAGACTAGGGGCACAAACTTAAGGAAGCCCTGTTTGTTAAATAACCTAGACTGGAGGCTGTTTTTTACTTTGCAGTACTGATATGATGGCAGTCTTGATTAAGGCTAAGAAGGGGCTGGGGATTCTGGGTGGGAGACCAACAAATTGGTGCCAGTAGCAGCCCCAGATAGAGGAGTACACAGGCCCAGCATGAGGCAACCTTGACCCAGAAGGTAGCCCAGCTACCATTGGTGAAGGTTTTCTCCAGTTCTGCTTCCTCATAGCTGTGGAACCAAAGACTGGTTAGAGAATATGCAGGGCATTAGTTTTTAGGCTGTCCTACCTCACCACAATCATAGAAGACCCATGTGTGTTTCCTAAGAACCCTATGAAATGGCCTTGAATGTTCTTTCTCTTAAAATAATTAGGTTTTCAGGGGGACTGTATCAGGTCTACCTCCATCCTACCTGAACCAGTTGGTAAGAGTAACCATGATGTAGAGTGAAGGAAGGAAGAAGATAAAGTGGAAGGCAGAGTAGCTGTAGGAAAAATGCTGGGCTTGCCCTGGAGGAGCTGGAGGGGGCTCTTGGTCAGCTGGCCTGGCTATCCCACCCCCTTGCCCTGGAGAGAGGAAAGGGCTGCTGGGAAGCAGTGCTGCTGAGACACCTCTTCCTTTTCTCCCGCAGCTACTTTCATGAAGGCTCTAGAGGGCTCTTTGGTACTTTACAGAATTCTACCATTTCTTACATTGTTCACTTGACACTGACCATTCTCTGGCTCCACTGTTTTGGGGCAGCAGAAACATAGTGAGGGCTTCTGAAAAACAGGGCAGCATGTTGTGGAATGGCTTCAAAAGAATGTAAGAAAAATTCCCCTTTGAAAAGATTGGTCTAGTATAAGAAGTGGAGGCATACTTGTATTAAATTTTTGCTCCAACATATAACTGGCTATGCAAACTTTGGTAAGATGTTTAATCTTTTGTGCCTCAATTTCTCCATTTGTAAAATGGGGCAAATACCTACCTCACAGGGTTGTTGTGAGGATTAAATTAAATGAGATTATGTATGTAAAGTATCTAGCACAGTGCCTAGCACATTGTGGGTACTCAATAAAAGGTAATAGCAGCTAGAATCTGAGCATTCTGGGTAGAGGTTGGTAGGGTGTGTGTGTCTGTCTGTTTGTCGGAGGGTGGGGAGGTGTTGGGGATATTGAGCTCTTGATACTCACCTGGAACTCATAGCTGTATACTTTGATGATCCACAGGGGCCCAAATACTTCAGCCAGATAGGAAGCCTCATTACTGAGAAAGAAAATCAAGTCCAGTCAACTGGGAGAGATTGGGGGTATTTATTGCCAACTAGTCCATATTGATAACCTTGAGGAAGGTGCTTGTAAGCGCCTTCTAAACAAAGATTTAAAATGTGTACATTTTAAATTCTCAAATCATTCTCCGCTTTCCCTGTCATCTCATACAGATCATCTGACAAAGTGCTATTCTTAGAAATTGTCCCTGTTCGTAGGGAGCTTTTCTCCTAGTCTTGCTGTAAAGTTTAAATAAACTAGAGTGGTAGACATTCATCTGATTATCCCTTCCTCTCCTGGGCATCCTCTTCTCACACCTCTCCCCTTGACACCTTTACTTACCAAGCAAAAAGCACACAAACATACATGATGGCAGCACTTAGCACTGCTAGTGAGGTATTTGGGGTTCCATTTTAATCAGACCAGGCAGACACTGTGTGTGATTCTGTCCTTGAAGGATTACTGGGGAGAGGCAATAGAAGACAAAGGTGTTAAGAACAAAGCTGAGTGTTTGGCGGAGGCAGAAAAGGTCTTGGCGCTGGGAGTCCAGGTCTTGTCCCTTACCTCTCTCTGGAGGAGGGCTGGACAGTGTGGAGAAGGTCAGATACATGATATAGCAGCTGATGATAGAGGCTTGTAGAAGGCCAGAGTGGGTTGCTCTGGGGAGACAGCTGTCACTGTTTTAGTCTACAGGGTGGTAATCTCCACACCTATCCCCCCACCTGTGCTGTCTCCCCATTCCTTGGAAGCAGATTGTTTTTATCAGATAATTGGGATTGAGAAGGCTAATTTGCTATAATGCTAAGCGGCCCCCCAAATGTAGGGCATATACCCACTGAGGCAGATGCAAGATGCGATGGAGAGGAAGGACAGGAGGCCACAGAAGTAAAGGTGCAGGCTAAGCAACATCTTGTTGAGAAGGCAGCCAGCAGGGCGTGTGTAGTGGTGAAACAAGAGCACAGCTCCCACACCTGTCAAGCTGTAGAATCCTAAGGTAGCCAGCAACACAGCTATGAACCAGCTGCAGTCTTGGGCTGCACCTGTTTGCCTAAGGAGGAGGGCAGGTGGGCAGTGGCTTGGAGCTCCACTATCAACTATCCCCATTCTTCTAGAAGACTGGTGTGATTATTTCACTGGCCCACAAAAGTCATTATGAGCTTCTTATTTTTTTTTTCTTTTTTGGCAGTAACTGGGGGGTTAACTCATGCTCTAGTCCCATTACTAAGGTTTTTTTTTTTTTTTTAGTGGTACTGGAGTTTGAACTCGGAGCTTCGCTTGCAAGGCAGGTGCTCTACTACTTGAGCCACTCCCTTAGCCATTCCTGAGCTTTTTGATACTATTCAGTGAGAGACTATGGGACTGGTGACTTGCCATGGCTTTTGCCCAGTCTTTGTGCATCTAGTAATGCCAGTCAGCTTCCCCATGAAGGGCCTTTAGGAAGGGTTATGTGCCTCTTACCAGTTCTTGTTCCAGGAGTGGGCAAAGGCTGTGATGAGCACCAACTGTAGTAGGATGAATGTGAAGCCTCCGCAGATGCCAATGTAATGCCAGGCTGCAAGATGGGCACCAGTGGGAAAATGTAACTGGTCATATATATATCACTCTGCTTTTCCCCCTCCCCCCTTTCTTTTTGAGATAGGTTCTTGCTGTGTAGCCCAGGCTGACCTCCAACTAGTGGTTCTCCTGCCTCAGTCTCCCCAGTGCTGGGATTACATTTGTGTGCCACCATGCCTGGCTTCCTATGTTAGAAAGCCTTTTAGCCTACCCCTGCTTATGGTGTGAGAGAGTACCTGGGAAAAGATGCTCATCAGAGATGCAGAAGGCAATAGCACAGAGACCTAACAGGAACAGCAGCTTGAAGAGCCTAGAAGCTGGTTAGAGGGGCAATAGAAAAGCAGACTCAGCTGGGCATACCTATAATCCTATCTACTTGGGAGGCTGAGATCTGGAGGATCATGGTTTGAGGTCAGCATGGGTGAACAGTTTGAGAGACCCCCCCCCCCAATCTCTAAAATAACCAGAGCAAAATGGACTGGAGATGGGGCTCAAGTAGTAGAGTGCCTGCTGTTCAAACGTGAAGCCCTCAGTTCAAACCCCAGTCCCACCCAAAATAAACAAAACCAGCTCAAGGAAAAAAGCAAAGGAATTAAGTGTACCTGTGGGGGAAGGAAGAAAATAACAAAAATATGGAAAGAGGCCAAAGAAGAGACAACTAAGTATAGAAAAGGAGGAACCAGTCCTAAGTGGGAGTCTGGGAACAGGTCCATTGCATTTAACTCAAAAATATTTAATAACATCCAGGCAGGAGTCAGCATATAATGACACCACTGTTATCTCCATGTTAGAGAATAGAAGTTCAAAGAGGTCAAGTGTCTGGCTCATGGCCACACAGCAAGAATTGCGGAAGCAGGGACTTAAACCTGTCTTCTGTCTTTTCACAGTGCTGTTACTTCATTCCGGAACTTCCTTTACTCAGTTTGTGTCTACTTTGCTCTTCTGTCTCCTCCCCACCCCAAAAGTACACACAAACCTGTTATGCAGCTGTGCCCGCAGGCTGGTGGGGAGTGGAGGTGAACCAGCAGCACAGCCTGCAGCAGGTGGAATGTGGAAGTTCCTGCACATATTCTGTACACAGCTCCAGAGCCACTGAGCACTGGACAGTTACAGTGGCCAAACAGGTGGGCACACAGTGCTGAGGGCATCTGGATCTGGAGGGAGTGTGTGTATATGAGAAATGGTAGGACAAGTGGATTGGTGCCTGTTCTCACTGACATACCCCCCTCCTTTACCCTTACCTCCAGTCTGAATTTCTTGTCTATCCTTCTCCTCCCACCTTACAACCTGGCCCCCTCCCACTTACACTATGTGCCCTGCCCCAGACCCTTTCCACCACTGTCCTTGATAGCAGGAGGCAGCAGACTGCTGAGGCCACCATATGGAGGAGGGTGTAGAGCAGGCGGGTACAAGTAGACTCTGTGAGAGAGGGCCACCTAGAGTGGCAGCAGCTAGTAGGAGGAGCAGCCCCACAGCAGGAGATCTGGGGATAGAGCAGGTATGAGATAGCAAGGTGGAGATTTGCAGAAGAAAGGCATATGTTAATGCATGTGTGAGGTTAACCCATGAAGTTGAATTCCAAAATTTTCCCTTTTCTTCCTTTAACTCAGGAATTCTCAGGTTCTGAGCTATTTGAGATTGCCTTCCATTGATTACTAGCAGGGTTTTTATCACAAGAGTTGAGTGCAGGCTTGAGCTATTTATCTTTCCCTAGATCTGAACATTTGACTGAGAACATGGGAGGAGAGGCTTACTCATTACTGAGACAAAGAACCAGAGGGACAATAGAGAAGAAAAGAGGGCCTATCTATTGGCTTCTGCAGGTTTTCCTTCCCAGCTTCAGCCATCCTGTGCTTCCAGTTTTTCAGATAATCCTTGTTTCAAGGAGCTTTCAAACCTATCTGCCCAAGCACCCTCTCACCTGATAGAAGGGAGTTTTCACTATGACATTGCTGACTCCACTGCTCTGCTGTGCTAGGCCCATCGAGGTACCAGTGCCTGTGATGGTCTTTGTACCCACCATCTTTGTCTCATGGATGAGGCCTGTGTCCACCAGATGAAAAGTAGATGAGAAAGTAGTCACTTCTGACTTCAGCCCAGTGGACTGCCGCGTTGCTGGGACTGATCGCTCAGTCTAAGGCAGAATGGGGACAGGAAATGTACACCAATCTCCAGGAAGTGGTAAATTCAAATGCTCTTATAAAGAAAGCTCTCCTGGAGCCCTCACATATGGACCCAGTCAGGTGGTTTTCCCTAGATTAGGGAGCAGTTTGCATATCTGGCCTCCTAGGGATTAGCATTCTTAATTGGTTTAGGATTAGACATCATCCATCCCGGTTGGAGAGGCTTGCTTGATGGGTGTGCGGGTGTGGGGTTTGTTCCTAGGTGAAGAAGAGAGAAGGCTGTGCCTTGGGTTGGTCTGGAGTGGTGACAGCTTAGGTCTTGGAGAAGACCTTGCAGAAAACTATAAACCCAAAAGGAAGTGGGAGGAGAACCACCTTCCTCCTTGAAGCTTCTAGAACCGGGGCATAAAGGTGTGGTCCAGTGTCGGCCCGCCCCCCTCCCTGGGCGGAAGTTGAATGCTACCGGAAGTCGCGGTGCGGTGAGTTGGCTATGGCGACCGAGGGGGACGTGGAGTTGGAGTTGGAGACCGAGACCAGTGGCCCGGAGCGGCCTCCTGAGAAGCCACGGAAACATGACAGTGGTGCCGCGGACCTGGAGCGGGTCACCGACTACGCGGAGGAGAAGGAGATCCAGAGCTCCAACCTGGAGACGGTGAGGTTGACCGGGAGCGTCCGAGCGCGCTGGAGCGCAGTGGGGCCCTGAGGTCGATGGCGGGAGGAGCAGCCGGGGAGAACGGGGCGAATCGGCGCCCCACACCCAACCCCGCCGCTTCCTTAAAGGAGCTGCATGGAGGGCGGGCTTAAGCCGGCCTCAGGTGCGCAGAATGAACGGCTCCTGGCAACCCTCGCGAGTGCATACATGAGCTGCTTGTTACCGGCCTCTTTGGGAATTGGGGGTAATGGAGCTCCGGTAACCAGATCTGTGTTTCCCGTAGGCTATGTCCGTCATTGGAGATAGACGGTCCCGGGAGCAGAAAGCCAAACAGGAGCGGTAAGTCGTCAGCACGCAGCCAGCCTTATCTGCTCTTTCCCTATCCCCAGAAAAAATAAAAACCATCATTAACTCTTCATTACCGCCCTTGAACTTTGTTTGTATTGGCTGTACTGGGAGGTTTCATTGTGACATTTACCTATGTTCTTACAATGTATCTTAATTAGATTCACCCTCCTCCATCATTCTTCCTTATCCCCCCTCCCCCGCCCACCTTGTTCTTCAACTCTTTGAATTCTAGGGTTTACAACTTTGTCGTTAGTGGAAGCCTCCAGGGGAAAGTATAGTAATGTTGGAAACATTTTGTATTTCCACTTGAGTGTTTATCCAGATTCACTTACTTGGGGGTGGGAAGGGTTAAGGGAATGGAATGTAATAGAGGGAAGGGTTGAAGTTGTTCAGAGTACACTATATACATCTATGGCATTGTGAAACCCCCTTGTACTATTAATGTATGCTAATTAGTAAAGATTCGCTTATTTTCGAGGCATAGTTGGTAGTTTATGGTAGGTAGAGGGAGAGAATGAGGGCTAATGTACATAAATATTTGCAGGGAGAAGGAACTGGCAAAGGTCACAATCAAGAAGGAAGATCTGGAGTTGATAGTGAGTAGTAATGCCTAACTAGTGTATGGGCAGGGGAGGTTGTTTTGCCTAATTTGGGTTGTTTTCTGAAACAAGTGGAGCCAGTAGGTAGTTTGGTGGTACATTAAAGTCTGGAAGGAAGCCTATATAAAATGATCCTTTTCTTGCAGATGACAGAGATGGAGATCTCTCGAGCAGCAGCAGAAAGGAGCTTGCGGGAACACATGGGCAATGTGGTAGAAGCTCTTATTGCCCTAACCAACTGATAGGTGCTTTCTCAGACATTTTTTGGATTAACTTATTGCAATAAAGTTTTTTGTTTGTTTGTTTGTTTTAATTATCTTGAATCAAGTGCACTATATATTGTTTTGTTGGAGTATTCCTGAATTTGTGATCCTCCTTCCCACAAATCTTAAGGTAGAAAAGTACCTTATGTTCAGATAGATTGTAGGTGCAGGCTAGTCTCATTCATCAGTATTCAAAGTACATTTGGAGTCTGCAAAGTTACTGTATCCAAGGGCATGTGTCTCCAGGATAGCTTATGCAGTTCATCTCTTTTAAGACAGGGTCTCACTACATAGCCCAGGTAGGCCTCAAACTGGCAATTCTCCTGCCTCTATCTAGGGAGTGCTGGGATTACAGATTTGTATCACTAGGATTGACTCTCTAGGATAGTTTATGATAGCTGAAAGGCTAGCTCCTACTTAAGAGCCTTTATGTAGATGATGGTTACCAATCCACTGGAGTTAGAATTTAGGTACTTGAGATGGGAATGTAAGAATAATAGATGTCAAGGGTTTTTTTTTTTTTTCTTTTTCCTTCCCTTTTGTGAGTCTATGTAGCCTAGTACTTAAACCCCAAAGTACTGAGACCACAGGCGCACACACCATGCTGGCTTTTAGATGTGTGGTTCCCCCCCAATTCTGTGGATTGAATCCAGGGCCTCCCACATGTAGGGCAATTGCTCTAGTACTTGAAACATACCCCCAGCCAAAGGTTATTTTTTAAACTTAACTGGTGGGCAGGGAGGCCTCACATACATCTATAAAAGATTTAATCATAACATTTACATTCTATATTTCATTTCCTATCCTAGAGAAAAAGACAGTAATTTTACTTTAAAAGTCCATCAGCTTTGATGAAGTTCTACTTGCTTAGCTTGTTTCTTTAACTAATTATAAAACGACAGTACCCTATAGACTGTTGTAAGAAGTGACGAGATAACGAATACGAAAGTTTGGCTAATACCTGCCTCAGCGTGGACATTCAAATGGTATTGTGCTCTCCCTAAAGAATTTTAAGGCCTGCCAGGCATGCCTGTAATCCTAGCTACTCAGGAGGCAGAGATCAGGAGGATTGTGGTTCAAAGCCAGCCCGGGCACAATAGTTCACAAGACCCTATCTTGAAAAAACGTGGAGTGGCTCAAAGTATAGGCACTGAGTTCAACCCCCAGTACCTCAAAAAAAAAGCTTTAATCTCTGGCTCTGGGGTAATTTTTAGATTGCACCCCACACATAATAGTGAATGACACTATGTTCATCTTTATTACCTCATAGTAATTGTTTACACTTATAATTTTATTCTACAACATTAAATGGTTTAATTAAATGGTCTAAGTGATTCTTTTAGGGGCATTTTAAGGATGTGAAAAACCTTGGTGTTTTATTTTTTTTTGAGACTAGGTTTCATTTGGTGCCCAGGCTGGCCTGTCTCACCCTCCTGAGTGCTGGGATTACAAGCATGCACTACCACATCTGGTGGATTTTTTTTTTTTTTAATGCAATTGAGAAAAGTCTTCCTGCTGGTAAAATTTCATTTCTTTTAACCTGTAGAACTCTTGGTACTCTGCCATGTGCATGGTGCTTATACAGTAAGTATTAAGTGGAAAGAAAACTGAATTTAACTCTAGTATTGACAGTGTGGATTGCTACTCAGAGGGCATTGATCTCTCCCCTCCCCATGATATATGAGATACTAGTAGGTTAGCAGGTGCTTATCAGTAAGATGCCCCATTTTATGAGTCAACATTTGTTCCATGTATAACTATAGTTTAGAGCAAGGACAACCAAACAGATTTGTACTTGCTTATGGAATAAATGTGGGTGCTACATAACATCTGTCTAGTATGTGAGTTTGTTTCTGAGATCAGAGGGCATGATCAAACAACTTGCTTGATAACTCCTTGTTATATTTTAGTTAGTAGTTAGTCCTTGTCAGCTTACACATTTTCCCCCCAAAATATGATAAAAATATTCCTAGTGTGACTTATTTCTTGAAACACACACAAATGGATCAAAAAGCATGTTCACTTAGAAAGGTTGACTGTACCCAAAAATGCAAAACAGGCTTCAAAGAGCTTAGATTTCTTGGTGCATATATAGATTTCTAACCCTAAGGTAGAAGTAATGCATTGTTCATTTACGCGCCCATATTTCTGACCCAAGCTAAGAGGCCAGAAAAAGAAATTCAACAGTCCCAAGTAAATATGGGAAGCTATGTTAGAGAAACCTAAGATTTCTCAGAAACAGTTTTAAGTGGGAAACCTCTAATCCTACCTGGACAGTGCTTTTCTGTGGGTTTCTCAGCACAAGTCCAAACCTCACAAAGCACCTTCAAAGACTGGGTCGCCCAATAACACAAGTATGGCAGTAAGTCCAGGAGGAGGCTGGATACAGGAACCATGTAAATAACAGTGAAAGGAAATCAAGGACCCGATGCTGAGACTTCCACTCGTGTCCAGCAGTTGGAATAAGTAGTTGAACACTAGGTGGTTTTCCGCTTCTTTGCAGATGGTCGCTCAAATACATCTCGTACCCCAGCTGCCTTTTGTTTAAAGAACTTTGTGTTCTGGGCACTCTCTTGACCCCAGGCTGAATCAAAGGAGGTGGTGTCTTGATCCACAAGATGGGTGTACTTGGTACGACCAGAACGTCCAAAGTTCTTGACCTGAAGGAAGGATGTACATGAGTTATATTATCAAATGTACCATGCAACTCAGCTTGCAATAGTGTTTTCCTATGTTATCTAAGGTCACCATACCTGCATGACTTTAGGAAGAATAGTTTTGTTGAAATGATCCTCAAGGGTAGGTGCACTGAAATCTCTCTTGTATACTTCTTCATCCTCATCCTGCAGAAAAATAATCCTATCAGTCTTGTGGTTTTATTTGATATAGATCCAAACCACAAATTTATTTATTTTGGTAGTATTGGGGTAAGGAACTCAGGTAGGATAGTTAAGTTTTTTGTGGGATCTACTTTTTAGGGCCTAAAAATTCCTCTTTTAATCCCAAACGTCATTCCTATTTTACTTCTTGTCCAGATGAGTCAATATTTGAGTATGTGCAACAAAAGACTGACTTTGACATAAATTTTCCTCATGTATCTCAGCCAGCAACACACTGCTTCTGTAAGAATCTTCATTATTATTATAATATTTTCTGGTGGGGGACTGGGTTTTGAAGTCATTGCTTGAGCCATATCTTCAGTCTAATTTTGCTGTTATTTTGGAGATGGGGGTCTTGCAAACTGGCTGGTCTTGAACTGTGAACCAACCTCCTTATCTCAGCCTTCCATCTACTGAAGTTTTAAAATTTTACCAAAATCTGCATTGAAGGGAAGAATTCAGCAGTAATAGGAATATTTAGGGTTTGATATTTTGATAGATAGCACTTAGAAAAATTAGTCTTTTTTTTTTTGGGTGGTGGTGGTACTAGGCTTTGAATTCAGGGCCTCATGCTTGCTAGGCAGGTGCTCTCTTCAGCCACTTTACCAGCCCTTGACTTTGATCTTTATAGGAAGAACCAAGACAAGGGCATTCTGCATAGCATGAATACTTACCTTTTTTTTTTTGTTATTTTGTTAATTAGATTTAGTCATTTTCTTTCAGCTCAAAATGAAATGTCACCCAAATATGAATTATTGTAAAGCTATTTTCAGAGCTTGTTTTTCAATAACCAAACTTCTCGCCTGGCTATGAAATGTTATCTAAGTAGTTTTGGGACCTAATTTGTTGAGTATCTATATAGCTCACTATTTTATTTCCTTAATTCTATTATATCATTTCTGAGAGCTGAGTCTAAAACAGAACTGTTGTTGCTGCTCTTCCTGCTTCTACAATCATCTTCCTCGCTAATACTTTTTACTGCATTTATGTTCTGAGGCAAAAAGCAAATGAGAAGGTTGACTGCTGGCAAGTGGAAATAACATTTTATGTCAGTTTCTTCTCATTCCAGTGGAAAAAAGAACTCAAAGCTTCTGAGTTATTCCTACTGCCCAATTTTCTGACTCCCTTTTACTTACCATAAAGAAAGCACCGCGGTGATAATACTTCTGTAAAAACTTGTATTTGCCCTTAACAGCTTTGTTGGTGATGACTTTGCCATTTGCCCGAAGCTCAGCTCGCCTCTCTTCCTCAGTCAGGTTTCGCATGCGTTCAATTTCTGCTTTCTCCTTTTCAAGTCTGTCCAGAGAGCAAAACTATTAGTATTTTTCAAGCTTTAGAAAGATCTAGTTTTCTGAAAATAAGTCACATCTCCTTTTAGTTATTATTCACCTTTTTAACATACTATTATTGCTTGATTTTGCAACATTACTAATTTCTCTTCCCTACAATGCCTTCTTAGCTTTTAAAAAAACTCAGAATATAATCCTAGCTACTTAGGGGGCAGAGATCAGAAGTATGCAGTTGGAAGCCAGTCTGGGGAAATAGTTCAAAAGACCCTATCTTGAAAAAACCCTTTACAAAAAAGGGTTGGTGGAGTGGCTGAAGGTGTAGGCCTTGAGTTCAAGCCTCAGTACTACAAAAAACAAAAAAACCCAACCAGTCTAACCCAACTGAAGGCAAAGTGAAGCACTGAGGCATTCTAGTTGAGAGTCAGCACCAATTACCAGACATGAAGAAAGCTCTTTTGAACTTTCTAGTTTAGTCAGTTCTCCAGCTGAGGCATTATGTGAAACTACTAGAGCAAATGTTCAGTAAACCTCCAAAATGTCCTTTGAGTTTTTTGGGGGTTTTTTGGTATTGGGGTTTGAATTTAGGGCTTTGTGTTTGCTAGGCAGGTACTCTACCACTGTAGCCACTCTGCCAGCCTGTCCACCTGCAGAATTGAGAGAAACAAAGACCTGCTGTTGCAGCCAAACTCTGGTGGCTCAAGCCTGTAATTCTAGCTATTTGGGAAGTTGAGATTGGGAGGATAGCAGTTTAAGGCCAGCCAGGCAAATAGTTCTCGACACTTCATCTCCAAAATACCCGGAGCAAAATGGACTGCAGGTGTGGCTCGAGCAGCTCAAAGAAGACTCATAGCCTGCTTTGGAAGCACAGAGCCCCAAGTTTGAACTCCAATCCCATGAAAAAACAAAAACAAAACCAAAAAACCTGTTGCTTCATCAGGCACATGGCTCAAGCCTGTGATGTGATCTTAGCTTTTTGGGAGGTGGAGATCAGAAGCTTCACAGGTCAAGGCCAGCCTTGGCAAGAAGTTTGCGAGACTGCATCTTAACCAATCAGTTAAAGCTGGGCGTGGTGGCATGTGCCTGTCATCCAAGCCACAGGGAAGTGTAACTTAAGAGGATCATGGTCCAGGCTGACCCAGTCATAATGTGAAACTCTATTTCAAAAACAACCAAAGCAAAAAGAGCTAGGTGTATTGCTCAAGTGGTAGAGTGCCTGCCTAGCAAGTGCAAGGTTCTGTGATTAAACCCCAGTACCACCAAAAAAAAAAAAAAAAAAAAAAAAAAGATTAAAAACTGTCTCAAGTAGGGGGTGAGGGGGAGAGGGAAGGGGCAGGGTGGGTGGTAGGGGAGGGGGTGGGGGCAAGGGGGAGAAATGACCCAAGCATTGTATGCACATATGAATAATAAAACAATAAAAATAAAAAAAAAAAACTGTCTCAAGTCACTTGATTTTTGGTTAGGTTTTTATATGAAAGGAGATAATTACTAACAGTGAGTAACATTTGTGTCTTTTTCTAACTTTTTTTTCTTTTGGTAGTCCTGGGAGTTGAACTCAGAGCCTTATGTATGCTAGGCAGGCAGGCTCTCTACTACTTGAGCCACTCTGTCAGCCTAGATTTGGTGTCCAATAGGAAACTAAAGCAAGCATTAGCTGGCGCTCTATCAATGAGAAATAACTGACAAAGTGTGTTTCTCTTTCCTGATTACATCACAGTAAAGCTCACATTCCAACATGGGAAACTCACTCAACTGCAAGAAGCAAGAGTGGAATGCAGAATATGATGGGCCTGAAAGTTCCCCTATTAGAAACCTGTTCCACTAGGAGTATTAACTCTAGACCGATCCTGTTACTCACGCTTCTCGGTCTTCTCTGTCTCTCTTGATTCTTTTTAGCTCTCGTACTTTCCATGCCTCATACTCCTCTTCATCATTTTCATCGTCAGTATTGAGTGCATCCAGTGCAGCCAGGGACCGCTTGTTTTCCTCCAACTCTTTCTTGGTCTCCTCTTCTACAATCTGGATAAAGAGAACAATTAAGTTTTTGGACTTCCTGCGTCTCCTCTGACAAACCTAATTACATTAATCTTTGCACCTGACTCTCACAACCACTCCTAGTACCTTGAGCGTGTACTTGCGCCTCTCCTCAGCCATCCGTTTTGCTTCCTGCTCCAATTCCTTCTGTTTCAATGCTTCAGCCTCACGTTCTTGAACTGTCACTCGGTCTTTCCTGCATCACAGAGGTCCTGTTAATTGCCCAAAGTCCTTAGAGTGGAGTTCTTTGTCTCCCTAGATCTAGTCCCACCTAAACCAGACAAAGCCAGGCAATCTTTGGCTCTATTATTTGAAATAGTCAAAACCAGGAGTCATCTCAGGTCTTCAGAGCACAGTTTCATTTATCTTTGAGAACTGCCTAAATAGCACGGGACCTCCTAGACTGTGAGTAGTAGGATCTCCAGCCATGAGGAAAGAAATAGGAATTTCTTCTTCAAGTTTAATTTTGTGCTTAAAATATACAACTATAGGCAGATATATTCTCTTTAACTGGAAAGGGAGATGTGAAAATAAACTCAGGCTTTCTGCTATTACCAAGGTACCTCTAAGCATGTATGTTGCAGGGCTAGGGCATTGGGCAAAAGATTTTACCTTAATGCTTAAATTTCAGAAGAACATGGAATAGAAAAGATGCTTTTATTGTTATACCTGAAAAGTACATTGCTTATGAGATACGTACTTTCGAATGAAGACTGGCTTAAGGCGAGGCTCCATCTCATCTTCACTGTCTGTGTATTCTTCATACTCAGACTCTGATTCTGACTCCTCCCCCGAACGTCCTTCATCTTCCACCTCCATTACTTCCATTTCTTCATTTTTTCTCTCTTGTGCTCGCTGACGCATCATGCCACGGCGCCGCTCTATTTCCTATCAAGGCATACACCTAAGCCAGTTATTCACATAATCAGTGTTCTAAAATGGCATTGTTTTTGGTGCTGGGGACTGAACCCAGGGCTTTGCACATGCTGAGCAAAAGCTCTACTATGAGCTACAACCCCAACCTCTAGCATAGCTTTTATTTTTCCCTCATGAAGCTCAGCAGATTCTGTCATGAGTAAGTGCAATTTAGCATTATGTCATTTTTAACCTTATCGCCCAACAAACAGGAAATAAAATCAGAGTTCTACCAAAAGCAATAATCTTGTGCAACAAATAAGCACTGGGCCCCAATTTTTCTTGTCCCTAGGAAAAATACTCCCATATTCCTTTATCATACCTCATCATCAATTTCTTCTTCCTCTTCCTCACTGCTATCTTCTCGTTCCATGCGCCAAGCATCTCCTTCTACTTCTGAGTCACTTTCTCCTACCACTTCAGGTTCCACTATTTTCCGATGTCGAGCCAATCTGAAAAACAGGATCTCCATTTGTAACACCAATGTCACAAAAATGAAGGAGCATCAACTACATTTCCTTAGCCAAGAGCACTCTGACAGTTGCCTTCACTAATAATGAAGTCTTGAGATGAAGAAACTGAGGTGCAGATTAAAAAGACTACTCCAGAATGTCAAAGCAAATAGCCAAATTGAGCCTAAAACATTAAGCATCCATTCAGGCATCACCATGGGGCACTCCAGCAAACTCACAGGGAACTTAGAGACAATAATACCTCAAGGTAGTTCACAATTTCAACATCAGATATTATTACATTTCTTTCAATGGCATGGCAGCTTTGTAAAACTGGGTTTTGGTGGTGGTTGTAATAAATCACAATTAAGCATGAAGGTCAATATAGAAAGGCAATGAAAGTGTAACAGTTCTGACTTCAGGTTTGAGAAGTCAGTGTCCAACAGGCTTACAAGTCCTACTAGTAAGTAACTGTAGTTAAGAAGAATGAAATAAAAATATTTTTTTCTTTGTGTGTGTATGTTTTTTAAGTGGCTAAGTTGTTAGGATATAAATACGCTATTTGTGGCTGGGGTGTGGCTCAAGTAGGAGCACACTTATCTAGCAAGCGGAAGGCCCTGAGTTCAAACCTCAGTACTGCCAACACCCAAAACAACAAAAAATAACTTATGTTATTTGGATCTATTTAATAAAACAAAATAAGTGCAACTGTTTTGGCTTTGGAGGTCTGTTACAAGATTCCTGAGACATATGAGGACAAAAAGAGGTTCAGGACCTCTTGCCTGCTCTATAAGGTAATGCCTTAATTAATATACAACATTCAAACTCCCAAACTGAGGGCTCTCTTTTCAACATGAGACCATGTTTCATGTCTTTTCTCCTACTTCATTAGTGTCATCTCCCCTCATTCATTGGTCTTTAGAGTAAGTAGATGGGTAAAATCAGTTCCTCAATTTTTTTTTTTTTGGTGGTACTGGGGTTCAAACTCAGGGCCTTATACTTGTTAGGCAGGCACTCTACCACTTGAACCCTAAGTTTCACAAATCTTATAAGATATCTCTGTGCTAAAAAGACTCCCTTCAACAAACCAACAAATGGTCTGGGTTTTTTTTGTTTTTGTTTTTGTAGTGGTCGGGATTGAATCCATGGCTTCACATATGGTAGTCAAGTGCTTTACCACTGAGCTGCATCCCTAGCCACCTTGGTCTCTGGTCTCTGTTTGTTCTCTCTCTCTCTGTCTCTGTCTCTGCTGTCTCTCTCCTCTCTCTCCCTCCTTCCCTCCTTTCTTTCCTTTTTGTTTTGGTCTCTGTTTTCTATTATCCTAATGAGTTAATTGGGTGTTTACACCAGAAGTAACCTGCTGTTTTCTGAAGCTGCCATTTATTTGGTCAGGTTACCTTCCTAGTCCTTTTCTGCCTTAGTTTCCTCATTTGTAAGCTAAGGATAGGAGTACCTATCTTACAAGGTTATTGTGTGGATTAAGAATTAGTAGCTAGGGTAGAGCACCTGCCTAACAAGCATGAGGACCTGAGTTTAAACCCCAGTGCCTCAAAACAAAACGAAAAACAGTTTTGGGCTGGCAGGGTGGCACAAGGCTCTGAGTTCAAACCCCAATGCCATTAAAAAAAAAAAAAAAAAAAAAGACAAAGAATTAGTAGCTTGGTTTTTTTCTATTTTTTCCCTTTTTTTTTTTTTGGTGCTGGGGACCGAACTCAGGGCCTTACACTTGTCAGGCAAGTGCTCTTCCACTGAGCTAAATCCCCAACCCCAAGAATTAGTAGCTTGGAACTGGTAGCTCATGCCTAGCTACTCAGGAGGCAGCGATCAGGAGGACAGAGGTTCCAAGCCAGCCCAGGCAAATAGTTCAAGATCCTATTTTGAAAATAACACAAAAAAGGGCTGGCAGAGTGGCTCAAGTGGTAGAATGCCTGCCTAGCAAGGTGACACCCTGAGTTCAAACCCCAGTACCATCAAGAGAAAAAAAAAATTAGTAAATGTGGATTATAAGTGTGACTCAAGTAGTAGAGCACCTGTTTCCTGTTTTGTAAGCACAATGCCCTGAGTTCAAACCTTGGCCCCACCAAAAAAAAAAAAAAAAAAAAAAAAGAATTAGTAAATGTAATCTACTTGGAACAGTGTCATTCCAGTATGAGCTATTGTTGTTCTTGTTAATTAAACAGTAGAAGTTCAGGCCCAGAAGAACTGAACCCTAGTCATTACCTCTCTTCCACATCTTCACTAATACGGTTCTGTAAACGCCGCAGACGTGGATCACTAGATGAATCCTCCTCCTGTTCCTCAGGCTCTGCTTCTTGTTCTTTGGCTTTCTTAATGAATTGAAATTCTTCATCTTCCTCATCTGAGGACTCCATAGGGGCATAGTCTGGCCTCTTTCCAGAGACATATCGTTTTACCTTCACTTTCTCCATGGAAATCTCACCTGGGTAAGGAAACAAAGATAACTTGTAATGTTTCAGTACCCTCTTCCCAGTAACCTCCAATTCTTGGCCTTTGCAGGTACAGCTCTGTATTCCTGGTAGGCAAGAGCATAAGTGGGAGAAGAGAGCCATTATTCAACCACTGACTCATGTAATAGTACTTTCCTACAAAGGCCAAATCATGGAAAGGCATTCTTGTGAATGCTAACACTAAGATAAGGAGGCTTAGCTTGGGTACGATGAAGTGGAGGAAGGTGGGCAGTGAAGCAGCAGAAAAAAGTCCCCTCTCCCTTCATGTTGTTCCACTTCAGCTATACCTTAAACAAATTATTTTTAACTGTGCCCAGCACATAACAAGGATGAGTCAAGTGGGAAGACTGAAATACTGCTCAAGCATTCTTTACAGATCTTTTTCTTTCTTTTTTTTTTTTTTTTATGAACTGGGGTTTGAACTTAGGATTTCACATGTGCAAAGCAAGTGCCCTACTTCTTGAGTCACACCTTCAGTCTCTCAAGCATTCTTTTAGATTCCTCTTGAATTTGTATTGCAGCCTTTACAACATATACCCATATAACTCAATATTCTAATCTTACCTATTTCAACTTTCTTTTCCTTTAGCTTCTGTGCTATCAAACCTTCTATTTTATAAATACAAACAATTCCAGTGCAGAGAGAGATAATAGTCATCATGATCTAGTAGGATTAAGTCCAAAACTTCAAGAATGGCTTAACCTTAGAAAATTAATGGGGGAGCCAGGTGCAGGTAGCTTATGCGTGTAATCTAGCTATTTTGGAGGCTGAGATTGGGAGGATCACAATTTGAAGTCAACCCAGGCAAATAGTTCGAGAGATCCCATTTCCAAAAACCAGAGCAAAATGGACTAGAGGTGTGGATCCAGCAGTAAAAAAAAAAAGAAAGAAAAGAAAATTAATGAGGGAGAGGGGAAAGCAGCGTATTTTCTTTAAGTCACATAATCTTAGCAATAGATACAACAAACATTATATAGCCTGAATATTCCATAGCTAAAATACTTGAAAACCAGATTTTAGTTTTTTGGATTTTGGAATATTTGCATAGGTATTATTAGCTGAGCATCCCTAATCTGAAAATCCCAAGTGTGAAATATTCCAAAATCTGAAAGTCTTTAAGCATTCATTGTTCCAGTGCGCAAAAAGTTTGGATCACGTGTTTTGCATTTTTGGATTAGGGATGCTCAAACTGTACTAAATGGTGAAAATTGGAAAGTACCCCCTTTTAACAATAGTGACTAGGCAAAGAGACTCCTCACTGTTGGTGTTGCTCTTGTATTAGGCTGGGGCAGAGCAGAGGACAGTGCTTTGTTCATTCTAGGGTCCTTTGTTTGCCTGGGCTGGTGGCCAAAGCTGTTTTATTCCTAGGGCACGTTAAAAAAAAGAAATGAATAACAGTAGAAGTGGGATGTGGTGGTCTGGGCCTGTAGCCCGTTACTCCAGAGGCCGAGGCATGAAGACTGCCTGAGCATAGGAATTTAGGTCCAACCTGGCCAACATAGCAAGACCCCTATTTCTTAAACAAACAGACAAACGATAGGCATTTGTATGCTATTCCTATTACATCTTATAGTCTGCATTCTATTATGATTCTAATTTGGGCATAAGAAATGAAAATTGAGGACTAGGAGTGTGGCTCAAGTGGTAGAGCATCTGCCTAGCACACATGAGGCCATGAGTTCAAACCCCAGTAACAAAAAAAAAAAAAAGAAAAGGACTGAAACTGCCATAATTTGCAGACTAAATGAGCATCTATGTAGGAAACACAAGATAACTAACAGACAAGTTAAAGGAGTTCAAAAAGAAATGCAGGGTAGCCGGATACTGGTGTCTCATACCTATAATCCTAGCTACTTGGGAGGCAGAGATCAGGAGGATCCTGGTTGGATGAAGGTGATGGCACCTGCCTGTATCCAGCACTCAGGAAGCAGAGGTAGTAGGATGGTGAGTTGGAAGCCAGCCTAAGCTACATATCAAGCTGCTGTCTCAGGAAAAAAAATTACATTCCCTTCTGAATTGTAAGCTCCTCAATTTACCTTCCACTTGGTAGAATTGTGTATTCAATCCTATTTAGTATATGTGACACTCAGAAGATGGAAAATCTCTATAATCTGACTATTTATGATCTCAGGATGGGGAGAAGATTTTCTTAAACAATATACCAAAAAAGCAAAAACTATAAAAGGATGAAGTTCATCAATCTGATAACACTAAAACCAAAAACATATAACAGAGACTATGGAAGACTCCATAATTGAAGGTAAAAGACAAGCCAAAAATGGGGGAAAAGATATTATAGTTTTGAAATATATAATAACACAGCAAAGTGGGTAATTGACAGAAAGTTAATTCATAGAAAAAAAGGTAGGGAGCTGATGAAATAAAGATATCCATTATCACGAGTAATCAGTAGAATGCAAATTGAAATAATAAGATACTACTTCACACCAGTTAGATTGGGCAAAAATTTGAAAAAAATGTGGATGAATATCCTGGAAATAAAAACTCATGCTGTTACAACTGACTTTGGAGAGCAATTAGCAAAAAGGTAGTAAAGTTGATGATGAATTTAGTAGTCTTCCTTAAATTCTTACACAAGTGCAACAATTAAGAATTAACATTTAAGAATGACAACTGAGCCAGGCACTGGTGGCTCATACCTGTAATCCTAGCTGCTCAGGAGGCTGAGATCAAGACCACTGAGGTTCGAGGCCATCTTGGGCAAACAGTTCAAGAGCCCTCATCTCTAAAATAACCAAAATGGACTGAGGTATGGCACCTGCTTTGCAAGCATGAAAATCTGAGTTCAAACCCCAGTTTCACACACATGCAAAAAAAGACAATCGTAGTACTTCCGAAATAGAGTAAAAATACAGCAACAAGGATGCTGATCATTGTGGTAGTTACCCAATGGAATTCATAAGCAGTTACATGAGTTAGATAATAAAAATGAACTAGACGATATGTATCCAAAGGGTAATTCTCAAAAACCTCATCGAGTTACAAAAGAAAAAAAAAAGGGGATCTCGGGAAGTAGCTCAGTAGTAGTACGGTGGCCTGGGATGCTTGGCACGAAGGAGGCAGGGGTTCAATCCTCTACACCACAAAATAAATACATAAAGAAAGAAGGCAAGTTGTACAATGGCAGACAGTACACTTAGAACAAGAAAGGATTGGTATTTTTTTTTTTGTTTTGTCCAACATCCTTAGTGAAAAAAAACTCTTTGGTCTGATTTCCTAAACCGGTATGGTGTTCCTCCATCGGCATTCACTGAACTCTTACCTGTCCTTAAAGGATCGAACTACATGCCACTTCTGCAAGAAGCTTTCCTTAATTACCCTAATCTGAGATGGTCTATCCCTTCTTGTGCTTGGCATGTGCCTCTTTTTGCATTTTTTAAAGACAGTCCTTCTTTCTTTATTCCCCTAAATATCTTATATTTGCATAATAGGCAGTACTGGGGTTTGAACTCAGGGCCTAGAGTTTGCTAGGCAGGCGCTCTACCACTTGAGCCACACTTCCAGTCCATTGCAACTCTTATCATTAGAATATGTACTCCTCAAGGTTAGGGGCATTGTCTTACACAACTTTATATTTAATTTAATAAGCAGCCATTGCGCTGGTTGAAAAGGAGAAAAAAGCTGGAAGACGACATGGTTCCTGCCTCAAGGAGTTATGAGCTTATGATCTAGTAGAGGGAGACAGACACATAGCTACAATAACCGGCAAGGTTACAAAAGCAGCCTAAACAGTCTGCTATGGATAACAGGAGAAGCTGTATTCCGCACAGCGCCCTGCAAACAGGCTTTCGCTATGTATATCAGACCAGGCGATTTGTGAGGCTAAGAGAAGAGGGGTGCTTGCTGTACATGAGAGCAGACAGGTCCCAGAAACAAGATCAAATGCAAGTGGGTCCCGCCTCCACTTTCAGGCAACGCGACCGGGTGCAAACTTAGGGTGGGGAGGTGGGAGAAACTAGAGGCGGATCTCAAGGGTCGCTGGGGTTGGAGTGCCGGCCTTGGGGAGGTTTGAAGGATGCCGAAGCTGAAAGAGGTAAGATACTATTGGGAGAGGGGAAGGCACAGTACCTTTTTCATTGCGAACCGGGACGGCTCCAGCCGTTGACTGGATGGGTGGTTGCTTCATGAGTGCGCTTGGGACCGACATGTTGGTGGCAGCGGTAGTGATTCCCGAAACTTGATTAATTCCAAACAGTAGACACTGACAACGACGAGCAAAAAAACTCCTTCCTACCTAAGACCGCCCCACAGTCCTGTGCGACTGATAGAAACGACTTACGGCAAGGCTAGATGAACCGGAAATCCGGGACTAGAGGATTGTGGGATATAGGAGGCCCTCTGAGCGCCGGACGCTGAACCGCTCCAGTTGCTCTTGCACATGCTCGTAGGTGGCCCTCCCGTTCTCAATCAGGGTTTGGAAGGCTTTTTCTGGCGGGAGTTTGTTTCCTTCGTAATTTGCTAAAACAGAGGAAGGTTCGAATTAAAAGTTTCACTTGTCTTGATTTGAAGCTGACAAGAACGGGATAGTGATAAGAAACTGAGGAGCTAAGGGAGGGGCTCCTTGTCTACCTTGTTGAAACCTCAGAAAAATTAGAGTTTAATGGAATAAAAGTCTTGCTACTGGCTTATATGATTAGCCCTGTTTGAGGGCAGGGATAAAGCCTGGAATCCCACCACCTTACTTTCAGCTTTCAAGTTCTGGAAACTGTTAAAACCCATTCCTGGCTGCACGGTGTTAGTATTTTATTTCGCAATTATTTAGTACATGTGTTTGCCGTGCTCAGGGACCTGAAAGGAGTGTGACTATTGTTAAAAGCCTGTGTCCTCAGGAGGCTTGAATTTTATTTAGAAAGTCTTCTAGGAATTCTAGAATGAGTCTTCTAGAACTTCAAAAATAATTTTTACAGGAGCATCTTCCAACTTACAGCTGGGTTGTGGGAAAAAAAAAGGCCAACTGTACGTCAGCATTTCACCATAGAGAGGCCTTTAGAACTTCTGTGGTGGGGGAAGAGAAGGGATACTATGAAAAATTTGGTTTAATCAGTGATTTTTGAATCAAGGAGTCGTGAAAATTCTGTGGGTACCAGGTTACAGAGGGCTACCGATCTGATTGACTTCCAAATTATTTAACCTGTGTTCTAAAATTGGTCCTGGATGGGAGAAGTGAAATTGGTAAATTTCAGGTAAGGATCAGTGAGCAGTTTGGGTCTAGAAAGAGCATTAAAAGTAAGAGTACACAGAAATTTTCTTTTCAATTTTGAAAAGTGGGTCTCGCTATGTTGCCCAGGCTCGTTTCCAGTTCCTGGGTTTAAGGGATCTTCCTGCCCTCAGTCTTGTTGAGAGCTGGGGCTGTGCGTAGTTGTGTTGCCATCTGCTTGACTTAAAATTTTATATTATGAACTTAACAGCTACTAAAATTTGTGTCGTCAGACTGGGGATACAGCTCAATAGTAGGGCACTTGCCTAGCATATGCAAGGCCCTGGGTCCAGTCTTCAGCACGGGGCAGGGGATGGAGGAGCGGGGAAGAATGTCCAAAGAATAAATTTTTTTTTTCTTTTTTTGTCCAAAGAATAAATCTTGTGGGAGGATACTTGTTTTGGTTCATGGCAACCCGGAGAATAGGAGAAAGGGTTTAATATGGGTGTGACTATACAAAATACAACGCACTAAAATCTTTTTATTTGTGATATTTGATTCACTTTACCCCAGGCTTTTGGCTCTTTTGTTTTGTTTTGTTAAAGGGTCTGGAAACCCTGGTCGACTTCTCAGTTCGGGATTTCGGGGATGAGCCACCCACGCCCAGCTATCCTTAGCGTCCTTAGTTAACTGGTGGTCAAGTGAGAGTTAACCAGCATTATCCGCGCTTGAACAAAACAAAACAAAATCCCAAATGCTTCCCTTCTTAGGAAGAAGATAATACGGTAACAGCGGGGTATACTTGTGGTGGCCGAGGGCTTGATTTCCCGTGCCCTACATTCCATATGGCGTCTACGTGTGTCTGAACCTTTGCCAGGCTCACCTTGCAAGGCGGTGGTTTTTCCTTAGCGGAGCGAGATCCCAGAACCACTAGCATCAAAATCCCCACCAGATATTAATTCGGATCCCACCACTCAGGAGGCAGGAGAATCTTGGGTTCGAGGCCAACCTGGGCTACACAGCTAGGCCTTGTCTTTAAAAAAAAAAAAAAAAGCCTCTGCCTCGCAAGTGCAAGGCCCTGAATTCAACCCCCAGTACGCCACCCCCCCCAAAAAAAAAATTCTAGGGCTCCAAGAAGCCCGGGTTGGGGCGCCCCCGCTGGCTCCGGCTCCGGCTGCGGCCACCCCTAGCCCCGCCCCCGTCCTTGACCACATCCCGCCCCGCGCGGACTCCCGCCACAATGTTGGCGGGAAGACGCCAGCTACTAAGTAGCGGGGAGATGTCCCGGTCCGCGCGCAGGTGGAGGACACGGCGGGCTCCAGACAGCGTCCGCAGGAGCAGGTGAGGGCTCAGCAGCGATCCTGCCCTCGTTTATGGAAAGTTTGGCCCTCAACTTTGAGGAAGGCTCTTATTGACATTAGAAATAATGGGTAGGATCAGACCTGGGTTCCTCCTCCCCATCCCCACCTCCACCCCCATCTCTACCCCCACCCCTACCCCTTTCCCTTGCCGTCTGCATTTACTTTTGCAGCAATTGTCAGCTTTAAACAATTTTAGCTAGTTGGAAGCTGACATTTGAAGTAGTCACCCAGTCACAGATGCTAGTCATTATTAATGATTGGTCTGGCAAACGCATGAACAAAAAACGTGCCAAGTAGAATCAGTAATTCCATTCCGTTTAATGAAGTATGCGTCAGGGTTTTGGAGGGGGAAAAAGTTTCCTTACAGGCCATCAATTTCAATTATGTTGTCATTATGCAACAGGAATTCAATTTGTTGGCACAAATCTGTTGAGTTCCCTGTAAGGAAGGGTATAGGACCTGAGATTCTAATACTCTATTCCTTTATTGATCTTAATAGGTGAATGAATATAAAGAAAATGAAAACATTGCTTATGCATCTCCTGGACCAGTACAGACTACAGTTTTAGGAAAGATAGCTAAGGTTTATCTTACTCCCTTTTCACTCAGCAATTACAAACTACACCAACTTAAGTGCTACAAATCCCGATTAGAAAAGAGTTCTAACAATGCAGTGGTGTGTAAGAAGACTGAACTCAAGAAGAAAACTTGCAGAAAGATTTTAATTCCACAGAAGAAAGCTACATCTTCCAAGGCAGAATCCATGCTGCAAAAATCTTTGGATCTCCCTACTGAAAGTACCAAGCTGGGACAGAAGAGCAGTTCAGATGAGGTGGCTCTCAGTGTTGATATGGAAAGCAGTGATGAAGATACCACAGCTGGCCTGGTAGGAGTTTATTTAGTAGTTTGTTCTAATTTTCCTATCACTTTGAAATTTGAAGCTCTCAAACTCAGGTTGTGAAAGGTCTCTACTGCAATCAGATTCTTTTATCATCTAATGTAAATTAATTGAAACTTTTTGAAGGTGTTTAGCAGATATATTCCTTGGATTAATTTTGCTCTTGGTTTTGATTTGTTAAGGAAAGGGTTGACTTAATCTTCACTTTGCTTCCCTTTTTCCTTTTGGTTTGTTACATGTGTTTTTGGGTTTATTTATACTGTATGGTGTCTTGCTTACCTTTACATATTTATTTTCAGTTTTCCAGAAGTCATCATCTTGAGGGACATAGGGTATTTGATCCTTGCTGTCAGGGTAGGATAACCATCATTAAATTGATTGCGTTAATATGCTGAACAATCTTTAAATACAAAAGGAGGCAAATAATGGAGTAGAGAAGATACTTTATTCTATTTAATGGTTTGAATTGATTGAAGGAATGAGATACCTAGTTAGTTTGGCTTCTACTGCCTACTGGACTGTTGTGCTTCATTCAAAGTGACAACTTTTATACAGGACAATGTAAAATTGTTCTAGATGTCAAAAGGTTGATGGATTTAGGGGAACAGAAAATGAAGCCAGGGAAAGGAAGATAATTGACAAGTTGTTATAAAACAGGAATTTGATTTATGCTTTATAGTCCCAAAGAATCAGGACCTGTGATGGGACTGCATAGGGTAAGTCATAAGTGCATTTAACCAGGGGATGGGAACCTAGCTTATAGGCATAGCCAGTTCTAAGAAACATCGTTCTGTACTTGCTTTGGCAGCACATATACTAAAATTAGAACAATACAGAGAAGATTAGCATGGTCCCTGCTCAAGAATGACATGAAAATTTGTGAAGTGTTCCATGTTTTTTAAAAAAAGAGAAACCTTGTTCCTTTAAGCAAATCACCTCCCTAATGAGAGGATTGGTGAAGATTGGTCATTCTCAAAATTTAGCCTTTATCAGAATTACCTGGAGAGCTTGTTAAAACTCCATTGCAGGACAGTTTTGGAGTTGAGTGGGACATACAGTTTACATGTCTAACACAGTTTCCTACAGATACTGATGCTACTGGTCCTGGATTGTCCTTTGAGAAGATACAACATTTTTTAGCTCATGGTTCTGGAGTTAGAGATGTCTGAGAGCATGTCACCAGCATCTGCTTGGTATTTATTGAAGGCCTTGGTGCATCGTAACATGGCAGAGACAGAGCGAGCTTACTAGAGAGAGCTCAAGTTTATAACCAAGTACCTCCTTTGATAACCCATTACTCTGGCATTCTATAAATGGATTGATCCTTTCATGAGTTCAGAGCTCTCATGATCCAGTCACTTCCCAAAGGTCCCACCTTCATATGCCATTAACGTGAATTTGGGGACTAAATGGCATTTTTTTTGAGGTTGGGAGATGGGACTGGAGTTTGAACTCAGGGCTTTACATTTGCAAAGCAGGTGCTCTACCACTTGAGCCACACCTCTGGGACTAAGTTTCTAACACTTGTAATTTGGGAGGCACATTCAAACCATGGCATACCTTCTCATATCTCTGAGGATTTTTTTTTTTAATTTCTTTTATTCATATGTGCATACAATGTTTGGGTTATTTCTCCCCCACCCATTCCCTCTCCTCCCCACTTGTCCCTACCAGACAGAAACTATTTTGCCCTTATCTCTAATTTTGTTGAAGAGAGAATATAAGCAATAATAGGAAGGACCAAGGGTTTTTGCTAGTTGAGATAAGGATAGCTACACAGGGAGTTTACTCATTTTGCTTTCCTGTTCATATATGTTAACATTCTAAATTAATTCTTCTGGAACTAACCTTTTCTCTAGTTCCTGGTCCCCTTCTCCTATTGGCCTCTGTTGCTTTAAAGTTTCTGCATTAGTTCCTTTGCATTGAGGACATCAGATGCTACATTTTTTTTTGGGTTTCTTGCCTATCCTCCTATCTCCCTTGTGTGCTGTGGCCTCTCTGAGGATTTTTTTAAAAATTAGTTTTAGTGTTAGTGGTTTGTTTTAGGAGAAAGTAGTGACAAATGCATTTACTTATTTATTTTTGACAAATGCATTTATTGATTCTACTGTTGGATGGAAATTTTTTCTTTCATCGAGATAATGGGCTCCTGGAGTGGCTCAAGTGGTAAAGCACCTGCCTAGCAAGTATGAGGTCCTGAGTTCAAATCCCAATACCACCAGAAAAAAAAAAATTTGGCCACGAGGAAATGATTTGCTATAAAGTTATATATACTACTTGACTCCTGATGTCAGTTCACTTCTTATTTAATTGGGAAACCATATAATTATCTTGTAATTATCCTAAAGTTAGTTTCTCAATATCCAATGCAGTAAAGATTTGTGCTATTTGGTCAGATAGCATGAAATGAATAGAGGGGATACAATTTGAAGGAAAGTATATATGCAGAAAATTAAACACCTAGTTTTGTGAAGTGCTTTTGCTGTATATATGTAAAGTAACAAAATCTTTTTGGTGTAATTTCATAGGATGATTTTTCAGGATTGTCACCATATGAGAGGAAGAGATTGAAGAACATATCAGAAAATGCGAACTTTTTTGCTTCTCTCCAGCTCTCTGAGGTTTGTGTGGAGTTTTTAAATTAAAGCCAAGATGCTATTCCTCTTGCCATTAAGTGAAATACATACAGTATCAATGAGTACTTCAGTGAAATACTTATAGTATCACTTTTTATAGGATCAAATGAGGGAAGGCCTTGAATTTTGGACCCTTCTGCTTAGCCTCCTGAATGTTAGAATTATAGGTGTGTACCGGTATACTTAGCTTTACTTGATTCTAAGGCATATGTTTTTACATTTTAATAATTTTGAAGTTGGCATCGTCAAACCTGTTTTTGGTGGTACATAAAGTAATGGCATCTTATGATTGGTTGTCTTGGATTCAAAGGACAGTTTATGTTCCAAATGACTGTTTTAACTAAAGATAAAGCAGTAGTGGGGAGGGGTGGGTTGAAGGATGTGTGGTGTAGGAATGCAGGCACAAGTTCTGTTTATTTTTAACTCTTAAATAGATGGGAATATGCTTTACACAGGGAGCTTTAAGTATAAAAAGCTAGATGTATGCTAATGTTTTATAATTATTATAACACCGGTAATTTACATCGGTGTCTTCACGCTTCGTGTAGAATTTCTATGTGTGGGAATAGTTGTTTAGGAGGGTGTTATTTTTTCTACCCCCCACTAAAGCTATCAAAACCTTGGCTTTACCAAAACATTCATTTCTGAATACCAGATGCCCAAATATTTAGTGTCTATTTTTATCCTGGGGAAGGGCAAGTAAATTGAAAGATAAATTGTTAAATCACTAACAACTGAAAATCCGTCAGAAATTTACAAAATTTCTAATTATGATTTTAGTTAACCGAAAAGATAAGTTGAGTATAAAAATGTAACTCATAACTTTACTGAAAACGGCAAAGTCAATTCGCCAGTAGTAGAAATTGAATCTTGTAATTTGTAATTGCATTTATTTATTTATTTATTGTGGTTCTTTGAGTCCAACTGAAGGCTATGTTCTGAGGCAAGTGTTCTATTGTGAGCTACACTGCCTATGGTAATAATGTATTTGATTAAATACATTTATCATGTAAACTCATTAGCAACTTGGTTCAAGGTACAAGAATGTTAGTATATTAGACAGTATTATATTTTTGCCTTTATTATTGATAGTATGTTTGTCTCATGTCTACTGCCAAGAACAGTTATCCTAGCTTAAGGATCTTCATTTCCTGAATAATCTTGTGTATAGTAGCAGATACTTAATATTTTTAAAAGGTAAGTAGTTATAAAGTAGTATTTTTATGTGTATATATGTTCTGTGTGCTTTTCAGTCAGCTGCAAGGCTCCGGGAAATGATAAAGAAGAGAAAGCCTCCTGAATCCAAGAGGTAAAAGACTGGTTTTCATTGGCTTGACCATGATATTTTTCTGAGTTGTTTTATAGTTTGAGAAAGTGGTTTGGTATAGTAAACTTTAATAACAGATCAGAAATTCTGTAATTTAATCGTGTGTGTGTGTGTGTGTGTGTGTGTGTGTGTGTGTGTGTGTAAAGCAAGAGAATTTATTGAGATAGAAAAGTAGCAAAGAGTAGAGCTGCCAGAGTTAGGAGGGTCCCAAGTAAGGGAGCTCTCTTTTCTTTCTGTTTTTTTAATGGTGCTGGGGTTTGAACGCAGAGCCTTGCGCTTAGCTTGAGCCACACTCCCTTTTTGCTTTGGTTATTTTTGAGTTTTTGCCAGGGCTGTCTTGGACTGCTATCCTCCTCCTTAGGCTTCCTGTATAATTCATGTGCCACCCCATCTAGATTTTTTGTTATTTAATTTTTTTTGTTTTTATGGTACTGTGGTTTGAACTCAGGGCCTACACCTTGAGCCATTCCACCAGCCCTGTTTTTGTGATAGTTTTTTTTCGAGATAGGGTCTCTTGAACTATTTTCCCAGGCTGGCTTGGAACCGAAATCTTTCTGATCTCTGCCTTCTGAGTAGCTAGGATTGCAAGCAGGAGCCACCAATGCCCAGCTTGGGTTCAAGATTTGATTCAGTTATTTACAGCTATCAACCTTGGACAATTAATATGATTTTTTCCCCCTCATCTGTAAGGCTGACATGTTAACCCAGAGAGATTTAAAAAATTTTTTTAAATTTGTATAAGAAATTTGTTTAAAAAATGTATAAAGTGTACATACAAAAGAGCATATTTGTTTAATTGAAAACTTTATATCAATATAAATCCCATCCACATGACTGGCACCAGCTTGCTCATTTTTTAGTGTTTTTTTTTTTTTTTTTTTTGGGTGATACTGAGGTTTGAACTCAGGGCCTCATGCTCCTAGGCAGGTGCTCTACCACTTGAGCCACTTTGCCAGCCCCTTTTTGTGTTGGATATTTTTGAGATCAGGTCTCAAACTATTTTTCCCTGGCTAGCTTTGAACCACAATCCTCATCTCTGCCTTTTGAGTAGCTGGGATTACATGTGGGAGCCACTGCCACTTAGCTCATTTTTTATCTTTATTTTAAAATTTACCCGTGTTGGTGTGTACAGCTTTTTCATTCATATTTTTCTGCTTTAGGATATTCTGTATGAATATATTATGGTTTCTTATTATGAAGAAAGCTTCTCTAACTCCCTTCCTCGCTCTTCTCTCCATCCCTCCATGGTGCTAGGGATGGAACTAGGGGCCTCATTCATGCTAGGCAAGTAGGTTACCATAGAGTTACATTACCAGCCCTTGCTCTGAACAATCTTATGTCTTGAGGATTTTCAAGGAGTGGGGTTCTGAGCTGGGTGCTGGTGGCTTACACCTATAATCCTAACTACTCAGGAGGCAGAGATCAGGAGGATCGTGGTTCAAAACTAGCCCGGGCAAATAGTTTGTGAGACCCTATCTTGAAAAAAATAAAAACATCACAAAAAAGGGTTGGTGGAGTGGCTCAAGGTACAGGCTATGAGTTCAAGCCCCAGTACCACAAAAAAAAAAAAAAAAGGAGTGGTGTTCTCTGGGAATACATTTCTAGGAGGACTATATGAGAGTTTAAATTATTCTATCTGCTCAGGCTTTTTCTTTTTCTTTCAGTGCTGGGTATTGACCCAGGACTTCACACTTGCTAGGGAAGTGTTTTACCAATTAAGCCATGTGCTCATGCTCTCAGCCCTTTTGTTGTTTTACATGTTTGGTTTTTTTTTTTTTTGGTGGGGCTGGGGTTTGAGCTCAGGGCTTCACACTTGCAAAGCAGGTGCTCTACCACTTAAGCCACACCTCCGTTCATTTTGCTATGGTTACTTTGGAGATGAGGGTCTCATGAGCTATTCGCTTGGGCTAGTCATGAACCTTGATCCTCCTGATCCTAGCCTCCCAAGTAGGTAGCATTACAAGTATGAGTCACCAGTGCCTGGTTTATATTTTGTTTTGAGATAAGATCTCCATAACTTTGTTAGGTCTGGCCTTAAACTGGCACTGGAGATCCTCCTGTTTCCAACAGCTGAGTAGCTGGGATTATAGGTATGCCTACCATGCCTGACTACTTTAAACAAATAGTAGTTACTACTAATTCCTGTAAATTTAACTATAGCTGAGATTTTTTTTTTTTCTTGCAGTACTGGGGCTTGAACTCAGGGCCTCCACCTTGAGCCACTCCACCAGGGTTTTTTCAAGATAGGGTCTCAAGGAACTATTTGACCAAGCTGGCTTTGAATTGCGATCCTCCTGATCGGTGCCTCCTGAGTAGCTATAGGCATGAGCTACCAGTGCCTGGCTATAGCTGAGATTTTTATTTGTGAATTTTTCTTCTTTTTTTTCAATGGTAGAGATCAGACTTTCTCTGTATTACTGAGCTACATACACCCCCATATATGTGAATTTTTGGGAGTAATTTGAAAATTTTCTCTTTCCCCAACTTTTTATTTATTTATTTATTTATTTGTGGTATTAGGGTTTGAACTCAAGGCTTTGTGCTTGCTAGGCAGGTGCTCTACTGCTAGAGCCATACTTCCAGCCCTCACAACAATTTTTAATGAGTTTTTTTTTTTTTTTTGAGACAGGATTTTGCTATGTAGCTAAGGCTGGCTTTTTAAAATGAAAAAATAGGGCTGGGGGCATAGTTCAAGTGACAAAGTGCCTGTCTAGCAAGCACAAGGCCCCAAGTTCAAGCCCCAGTGCCACCGGAAAAAAAAAAAACCTAAAATGAAAAATAATTCGAAAAGAAAAAAATTAAAGGAAAAATAAAACAAATAGAACAAAAAAAAAGTAAAATGAAAAAAATTGAGTCCCCAGGGAGTTGCTGAGTAATACAGCTTTTGCCTAGCATGTTTAAGGTCTTAGGTTCAATCACCAACACTAACGGAAAAAAAGAAAAAGTGCACAAAAACGTAGGAAATGTGTATTGATTTAAAAAGTAAACTAAATTGACAGCTGTAATCCTAGCTTCTTGGGAGACTAAGATCAGAAGAATCAAGGCCAGCCCAGGCAAATAGAGTCTAGAAAGGCTATCTCAAAAATACCCAACAGAAAAAATGGCTGGTGGAGTAGCTCAAGTTGTTAGCATGCCTGCCTAGTAAACATGAGGCTCTGAGTTCAAACCCCAGTACTATCCAAAGGAAAAACAAAAGAAAACAAGAATAACTACAGCAAAATGAGCTAGTAGTATTGCTCAAGCTGTAGAGTGCCTGTTTTCCAGGTACAAACCCTAGTCCCACCAAAAAAAAAAAAAAAAGAAAAGTAAGTATATGGAAAGGAATAAAATGAAACATTTTATGGCTTCTTCCCATCTTTCCTTCAGAGGATACCACTGTTAATAGTTTGATGAGGTCACCTCTAAAGAGAATGTCAGCATAAAATGTATGTGTGGATATAACCTTTTTGTAAACATGTTAGGCCTTGTTTTTACCTCTTACAACCTAGAGTTTATCTTATCTTAGAGTTTATCTTACACAAGATACATTTTTCCTTTTCCTTTTTTTGTTCTGGGCATCGAAGCCAGGGCCTGTGCATGCTGGCACACACTCTAGCATTGAGCTGCCTGTCATTCTGTTTGGCATATGTACCACAGTTGATGTCATGTCTCTTCCCTCCCTCCTCATGCTGAACATTTTGGTTTAGGGTTTTTCCAGAGTTTTTATCTAAATCAATGCAGCCATGTATATACATCTGTGCTATCGATGTGTGACTATATCTGTGGTTCTCATTTCTAGAAGTTATCTCCTTAATCTTAGTAAATATGTTTTGTTATGAATATAACACAAGTGTTTCCCCCACTCCTTTAGAAAGAAACCAAAGAAGAAAGAAAATGAGATTGGATGTAGGAGGTCAATGCGCTTGCTAAAAGTAGATCCTTTGGGAGTTGTGTCACCAACAACTCCAGCACAGCCGATGCTAGTGGAAGATGAAAATGTAAGAAAAAATGTTAATATTGAAAGTTTAAAGTATTTGAAATTAGGCTACAGATTCTTTAAATTATGTTTTATTTATATTTTTTGTATTTATTTTTGGCAGTACTGAGGTTTGAATGCAAGACTTTGCACTTGCAAGTGTTCTACCACTTGAGCCATGTTTCTAGCAGTATTTCAGTAATTTAGTACTTAAATGTATGGTTAATGAGTAAGATTTCGATGTTGTAAAGAACAAGTTAGATTCTGTATTTCTGCAGGACTCACCTGTTATGAGTAAATTTAACCTTTTTAGCTTCAATCTCACCATTTAAAAAAATGGCAAAGGGGACTGGTGGAGTGGCTCAGTGGTAGAGAGCCTGCTTAATGAGCGTGAGGCCCTACGTTCAAACCCCAGTACCTAAAAAAAAAAGATAAAAACAGCAATAGCAACAGAAACATTAAAGCATTGTTGTGAGGATAAAAACAAAATCCGTAAAGTTCCTTACGTTGTATATACTAATGACTTAATAAGTAAAAAATAGTTGTGAGTAATAAGCAATAAGTGATAAAAGTGAGGCTCCCTTGCCGTAATTTAGTACTGTCATTGAGTAGGAAGTTTTATATATCAAATTTATTCTCTAAGGTAATATTTTTTTATTCAATAGTACCTACTGTGTTTAGTACTTTATCTTGGTTTCTTCAAGACAGGGTCTCACTATGTAGCTCAAGCTGGCCTGGAATTTACTATGTATCCGAGGCTGGCTTTGAAACAAAATCCTCCTGCTTTAGCCTCTAGAATGCTAGGATTATAGGTGTGTACCACTATGCCTAGCTTTTAATACCTTATATCTAAGTACTTAATTGGAAGATGGCACTAACTAGGCTAGTGCTTAGGGAGCTAATTGCCAATCAAGGTTCTATGGGAAACAGCGTTGATTTTTTTTTTTTTTTTTTGGCGTACTGGGGTTGACCTCCATGGTAGGCAGGCACACTACCCCTTGATCCATTTTGCCAACCCGTTTTTGTGTTGGATATTTTCAAGATAGGGTCTTGAAAATTGTTTACCTGGGTTGACTGCAAACCTTGATTCTTCTGATCTCTGACTCTCGAGTAGCTAGGATTACAGGTGTGATCCACCAGCACCTGGTTCAATTTTTTAATTTTTTTTTTTTTTTTTTTGAGATAGGGTCTCATTATCTAGTCAGGCTGGCCTTGAACCCATGGTCCTCCTGCTTCAGCCTCCCAAGAGCTGGGACTACAGTGTACACTACTATGCCTGGCTTTTCCAAAGGTTTTAAAGCCTCAATATTTCTAAAACAAGTTTTGTGAAAGAGTTACCTCATTTTATAATCAACATAGTTATTGTATGTATTTATGGGGTACAGTGTGGCATTTTAATACATGTATATAGTGTGTAATCATCAGATTAGGATAATTGGCATATCACTTCAGGCATACATCATTTCTTTGTGTTGGTAACATTAAAAATCTTCTCTGGGTGGGCATGTGGCTCAGTGGTAGATTGATTGTCTAGCATGCAGGAGGCCCTAGATTCAATCCTGGCCCTGCAAAAAAACCAAACTTTTCTACTTGCAGTCTGTGCTACATGGGAGGCTGATGTGGGAGGGTCATTTGAGTTCAGGACCAGCCTGGGCAACATATGAGATCTTCACTTCAAAAAAAGCAAAACAAACAAGCAAACAAATTAACCAATACTGGGTGCTGGTGGCTCACACCTGTAATCTCAGCCACTTGGGAGGACTGAAGTTCAAGGCCAGCCCTGGCAAACAGTTCCCAAGACCCCATCTCCAAAATAGCCAGAGCAAGATGAAGTGGAGGCTAGAGATGTGACTCAAGCAGTAGAGTTCCTGCTTAACAAGCTTGAAGTTCCAAGTTCTAACCTCAGTTCCACCAAAAACAAACAAACAAAAACCATCGTTCATAGTCTCTCCTCTATGAACGATTTCAAAATATTCTAGTAATTGTTATCGGCTATAGTTATCCTTCTGTGCTGTAGAACATTAGAAATTACTCTTCTGATCCACGTGCCCCTCTGCACCGTTAACCATCCTCTGGCCCTCCCTTCCTTTTCCACACCCTTCTTATCTGAGAGCAGCTTTACATTTCACTTGTAAAAACGTACCTGTCTGTGCCTGTTTTTTTCACTTAATATTATATCTCCAGTTTCATTTATGTTGCTGCAAATCACAGGCTCTGTCACTTTTTATGGTTGAATAGTATTCCACTATGTATATATGACCCCATTTTCTTTCTTTTTTTGTGTTTTTGAAACTAGTTCACACTGGCCTTGAATTCTTTCTCTCTCTCTCTCTCTCTCTCTCTCTCTTTTTTTTTGGCAGTACTGGGGCTTGAACTCAGGGCCTCATGCTTGTTAGGCAGGCACTCTGCCACTTGAGCCACTCCGCCAACCTGTTTTGTGTTGGGTTTTTTTGAGATAGGGTCTCATGAACTATTTGTTCAGGCTGGTTTCGAACCATGATCCTCCTGATCTCTACCTCTCAAGTGGCTATGATTAGAGGCATGAGCCATTGGTATCCGGCTGGCCTTGAATTCCCAGTCCTCCTGTCTCAGCCTCCTGAGTGTTGGGATTATAGGTATGCACTAACATGTCTGGTTTATATACCACATTTTTTTTTTCCTTATAACTTTCTCTCTGTTCTTTTACAAAATTTTATTAGTGTATAATAATTGTCCAGAGGAGATGCATTGTGACATTTACACATGCGTTTACAATGTATCTTAATTAGATTCACCCTGTCCATCATTCTCCCTAATCCTCCTTCCACTCCTATACCACATTTTCTTTATTCATTCATTGATGGACATTTAGATTTATTTCATATCTTACTATTGTAAATAATGATATCTCTTCAACGGACTGATTCCATTTCCTTTATCAGGTAGTGGGATTGTTGGATTATACAGTAGTTCTATTTTTTTGGTATAACTGGGGTTTGAACTCAGGTCTTTGCACTTGCAAAGCAGGTGCTCAAGGTAGTTCTATTTCTTTCTTCCTTCCTCCCTCCCTCTCCGCCCCCCTCTCTTTTTGGCAGTACTGAGGTTTGAACTCAGGGCCTCACCACCTGAGCCACTCCACCAGCTAATTCTTTTTCTTATGTTGGAGGGACTGCCATACTGTTTTCCATAATGGCTGTACCAGTTCACATTTTCAGCAGCTGTGTGTACCTCTTTCAGTTGCTAACTGGGTGCTCTACCACTTCAACCATGCCTGCAGCCAGTTTATATTCTAAGACAATAACAATGAACTTTTTATTTTTGATCCAGCCTTTGTTACCTCCTGGGCCTTTGGAAATGATTCCTGAAAATCAAGATGACAACAATGAACCCTGTAAAGGATTTCTGCAGACATGGGCAGAAGTGAGCAAGGTATCACTTGGGATGGCTTACCACCTTTAGAATCATCTGTTAAGGAAATTTCCATATATATTAACTTAGTGCTGTGATGTTTCAATGTTGCAGACAAGTACTAAGAAAACTGAGAAGGGGTTATCTAACATTAAAAGGTAAGTTAAAATTCCTTGCCTTTGTTTTATATTTATTGAGATGTTTAAGTTATAAAAGCTATATGCTATTACAGAAAAATTTGAAAGTGGAATAAAAATATTATCTGTAATATTTTCATCCTAGTGAGTGTGCTTTTGTATATTTCCTTTCAGGTGTTGTCATGCAATACCACGAGGCTATAAGTTTTATGAGAGCAGGGTTTTATCTCAATAACCAGAACAGTTATTGAGATAACTGGCACATAGTATGTATTCAGTTTTGAATAAATGGATGAATTCACAATTTTGCATTATGCATTTTTCATTTGTGGCTTTATATTTTACTAGAGTATTCCAGTCTTTAAAATTATTGAATAATTGCATAATACTCCACTGAGTTTGTGGAATTTGCTTGATCTCTTCCCACCCATTTGGTATTTAGTGTTATTTTCTGTTTAGTTGTGTGTGTTGAATATGTCTGTGATAGTGGATTCTTTTTTTAAGATGGACTTCCAGAAGTGGGGCTAATTAGTCAAATATGGCTAATATTTTATGGCTTTTAGTACACACTATTGAATTGTTTCTCCAAAATCTTTTCTTTCCTTCCAGAAAACTTACATGAACTCTATCACTTACGTTTGTGTGTGTATGCTTTTTAATATTTTTCTATTTTTGCCTTTGTGCTGGGGATTGAACTCGGGGCCTCATGCATGATAGGCAGTGTTCTACCAGTGAGCACATCCTCAGCATGAGTGTATATGTTTAACTGTAGTCTTCCAGTTTTTGATATCATCATTAAATTATCAAAGGTAATTTTATAATTGGAAAATAGTACCTCATTGTTTAACATGATTTCCTTTGTTACCAGGCGGTTGAATATTTCCCATTTATTTAATCATGGTTTTTCTTTTTTAAATCATTTTTTACTTATTTTGATGATTGAGATTGTTACTTTTCAAATTTAACTTTTATTTTTGTAGCTATAAAGCCAATTTAAATAGTATGGTCATCAGTGAAGATACTGTTCATAAAGTTACCAGAGGGTCCATCTTCTCTGTGGCTCTGCACCCATCAGAAATGAGAACTTTAGTAGCAGCTGGGGCCAAGTCTGGACAGATTGGGCTTTGGGATTTGGTAAGTTACTTTTTGAAGATACTAAGTTTGCCTTATGTAAATAGACTTAAAGAGAATAGCTTACAGACATTTATTATAAATAAATGTCTTGAGGTTTGTAGTTTTATGCTTTATGATTCCAAATTTTAAAATTCTGGAGGAATTTCAATTTGATTTATAGAACTTTAACATTTTTAGCTTGAATATCATTAGCCATCTGGGTATAAATTCACTGCCAGGAGACTTTAAATGTATATGTGAGAAATTCACATGGAATTATGTTTAAAATATGCTCTGCTATGTCCTCTTCCCAAATTCATAACCCCCAAGGAGGTATGGGTCCTCTGGGAGATGGTTAGGTCATGAATGGCATTGCTGCCCTTATAAAGGAAGCTGAAGAGCTCCTTCCACTATGTGAGGGGACAGCTGGAAGACACCTATATACACCAGTAAGCAGGCCCTCACTAGATGCTAAATTGGCCAGAACTTTGATCTTGTGCCACCAGAACTGAGAAATAATTGTTTTGCTCTTGATAAGCCACCCAATTTATGGTATTTGGTTATAGCAGTCCTACCTGTCCAAATGAGCTAAGACAGTCTCCCAGCTGGATCGAAATATCTTCCCAGAAAAGAAGATATTTTGGGATCTGCTTAGGATGTTCTTAGTTATCTTTTGATGAGTCAGAAACAGATAATGAATTCCATTCATTTTGTATACAGTTCTGCAGTAAGTGCTCTCACTAGTTACCAAGTTGGAAAAAAATCAAGTAATTGCTGTGGGAATTTACACTCTTTTTAAAAATAATTTTTAATTAATTAATTTTTTTGTGGTGCTGAGGCTGGATCCCAGGACTTTGTATGTGCTAGGCGAACACTGTACCACTGAGCTACATCTCTAGCAAGGAATTTATTTTCTAGTTGGGGAAGTAGAACAAAGACATGAAAAATGCTATAAAGACAGTTATCAGAAATGAAGAAACAAAGGTGACTTAAATCTGGTTGAGGTTAATAAACAAGTTTTGCAAGTGGGAAGAGGGAGATCAAAATCAAATTCCCTCTTATTTTGGGAGCATAGATTACCCCCTATTTTGGTACGATGTGAGTGGGGCTATAAGGTTAGCAAAGAAAACAGAAACAGAAGTGGGAAGAGGATCAGAATAGTGTAAGGATTTAGAAGCCAAAAGATGAGTTTCAAGGATGGGAGGTTGACAGGACTGGTGCAGAGAAATTAAAAAGAGAGGGGCCTGGAGGTGTGGCTCAAGCTGTAGAGCGCCAGCGTAACAAAGGCAAAGTCCTGAGTTCAAACCTCAGAACTGGAAAAAAAAAAAAAACCCAAAACAAAACACAAAAGGCCATTGATTTTGAGAATAGTGTACTATTGGTGAGTCGTGAAGAGCTTCAACTGTGAGGTAAAGAAGAAACACAGACTTTAGGAGATTAAAAATGTGTAGGGTGGTGGAGGAAGTGGGAGCAACAGATAAAGGGTGGGTTGATCTGAATAGAGGTGAAGACATACAGAAAAGTCCCTTTTATCCTGCTTTCTAGTATTTTTTTTTCCCTTTTTTGGGGGACTGGGATTTGAACTCAGGGTTTACTCCAGTCTTACTTATCCTTCTTGATGACTCTAGAGTCTCTATTACTCTATTTGTGGTACAGTATCTCTATCAACATAATTTTCCAGGACATTTTTAGCTACTTATTAACAGATTCAGCAAGTCTAAAATCAATATCATTTTGCCTGTCTTCTGCTTACCCCCAACTCTCCTGGCTTCATAAAAAAATTAACTTTATTGAGGCATAATTTACATATCATAAAATCCACCTAGTTTAAATGTATAATTCAATGACTTTTAATAAATTTACGGAGTTGCATAATGATCACAATCCAGTTTTAGAACATTTTCATCTTGCTATGTAGCCCTGCCTCAAACTCCTGAATGGTGGGATTACAGGTGTGTACCACAATGCCGCTCTAGAAAAGTCCTTCAATGCTTTTACCCCTTTCTTTTCATCCTTATTGCTACCATTATGGACCAGGGCCATATTACTCTGTGGGGGATTACCATCATAGTCTTAACTGGGGTTTGCACTTCCAGTTTTCTTGTTCCAGTTTAGATAGAGCACAGATACTCGTCTCCAGCCTCAAAGTAGACCTAAGTCATTTAGAGTTAAATTATTAGAAGCACTCTTACTTTTTTCAGATTAAAATGGGGATTGGAATTTACTTACATAAATAGTTTAGTAAAAAAAATTCAATTACAATAATAAGAAAGAAGCATAATTTAATAGTGTGTACTTTGAAAACTAGCCACCAAGGGGAGAAACAAATTCTATAGTAGAGCTGGAGGTAGACAACATGGGTTAGCTTTTGCCCTTCCTTATCCCCAGAATCCATATGTCAAATTCACTAGCAGAGAGTTTCCTCCTATATTCTCAAAACTGTAGAAAGGCATGCTGAGTGGGTACTCAGGTCTTCTTCTTTGGGGTAAGGGATGAGGAAATGGGGAAAGAGGGCATGAGGAGAAGGTGAAGTTGGGAAAGTGAAAAATAGGATTAACACTCCATAAAAGGAAGTTTTCTTGGACAGTGGAAGTAGCATAACACTCTCACCCCCACAAATAGTATGAATTCTGGCATAAAATACTGAATAAAATCTCAGAATCTAGGAATTCTAACAAATAGTGTTACTTCAGCTGAAGGCAACTCCTCACCCTCTTTTTTTTGTGTGTGGGGGGTGGTACTGGTAGTTGAACTCAATGCCTCAGGTTTGCTAGTTTGGTGCTTTACTACTTGAGCCACTTCACCAGCCCTCACCCCCTTCTTGCTGCCATCTTTCCTCTTGCCTATAAAAATGTGTGTTCTTACATTGTAGCTCTGAGGAGGAAATGAACCAGTATTAGATATGGGGAGAAAACCAGATGTTATATTGGACAACTAGAATGGACAGAGCAATTTAAGCATGAAAATGAAAAGAAATTACATGGTAGGTAGACAAACACTACAGTAAAACAACAAAGAACTAGACTGCAAAGCCCAGACCTAGAGGAAAACGGAACTTCGAGGAATTTCTTCACAGTGGCTTCAGATGGTGGAACTGCACAGTTTATACGTGAACTACTAGTCCCTTGAGATTATTTACATTTTAATTAAAATCGAAAGTCCACTTCTTCAATTACAGCAGGCATATTGCAATGGCTTAATAGCCACATATGGTTACTGGGAGACATATTAGAGCTTGCATATAGTTACCATATTGGTCACCTCAGAAAGTTCTTTTGGGCAGAGTGCTGTGGAGCAAATTAGGATGGACATTAATTTGGCAAAATAAAGCTCAAAGATGAGATGATAAAATAGCAATGAGCCAGGCATGTTTGTCCATATGGGAGGTAGAGACAGAAGGATGGAGTTTGAGGCCAGACTGGGCCATGTAGTGGGACCCTGTCTCAAAATAACAACCAAAAACCAGAAAAATCACCCAAGGGTTGGAGATAATGGCTCAGTGGTAGATTACTTTCCTAGCATGCACAAAACCTTGGGTTTGATCCCCAGCACCACAAAACGAGCAAGTGAATGAGATGAAAAAGGAGATAGAAAAACTAAGGAAACTGATTGAATATTAATGAAACTAATAAATTAGCCAAGGGTAAGAAATAGAATATTTACTACCTGTAATCCTAGCTATTCAGGAGGACCACATTTTGAAGCCAGCCGGGCAGACAGGCTGGCCTCAAGTCCCTGGGTGCAAGCCGTCCTGTGCTTCAGCCTCTGAGCCTTGGGACGTAAGCAGCGACTTTTCCCTTGCTTATGAAGAAACTAGGTTGTTAGCTGCAAAAAGCTGGATACAGAAAATGAATGTGGTATTGTTGAGCTGAAAATTAGAAAAAAAAATTTAATGTCGGTATAAAGTTCTTAGTTCTGACTGAGTGGGAGAGTGGGTAGGGTTAAAGACTGAATATAAACCAGATGTAAATACTTCAATGACATAACATAGTAAATGTTACTACTTTTCACTAGTTTTCATCTTCTTCCACCCCAACCCCCTTTCAGACCCAACAATGTAGAGAAGATGGGGCATATGTGTTCTATCCTCATAGCCAGCCAGTCAGCTGTCTTTCCTTCTCACCCGCCAATCCAGCACACCTCCTGTCACTGAGCTACGATGGCACTGTGCGATGTGGGGATTTTTCCAGTGCCGTTTTTGAAGAGGTAATGTTGATGTGTTTACATGCTGACATCTGGATTCTCTGTGAAATGCCGTGTGATTATTATATCAGATTGAGAGAAGTGGCATAGCCTAGGGACTGAGTTCAAGTCTCAGACTATCTTTTACTAGTTGTGTGACCTTGAAAATTACTTAACCAGTTCGCACTTCAGTTTTCTTAGTTGTGAAATGGGAGAGTCATCGTATCTTCCTTACAGGTTGTATAAGGATTCCATGAGTTAATGCAGGTAAATTCATTTATTTATGTACCTTTTGTTCTTTTGAGCCTTGGTTTTACTAAGTAGGTCAGGTTGGCCTTGACCTGGTGATCCATCTTTCTCTGCCTTCTGCCAGAGGTGCCTGGGACTATAGGCCTGTGCCATCATACCCAGTTACTTTTATTATTTATTTATTTGCAAAAGGCTTTTAAATAAAATAACTTGTCTTTCTAGGCTTAAGCCTTGTATGTACTCATTTGGGGAAGAAATACTTAATATTACACTTCTGTTCATCATTCCTGGTCTTTGCAGGCATAAAATTTGGGGGATGAACTTTACATATGAAACTATAAAATTTGATTTTCCATAGTCTTTTTAAAAAGTTTTTGGCAGTACTGTGGCTTGAACTTGGGGCCTTGCACTTGGTAGGCAGGTGCTCTACCATTTGAGCCACACCCTCAGCTTTCCATAGTCTTTTAGTTATGATCTGACTTTTTTTTTTTCTGTTCTGTTTGGTACTGGGGATTGAACCTATGGCCACTTGCTAGGCAAGTGTTCTACCACTGAATCCCCACGCTCGGATTTCACATGTCTTTTTTATGTGTGTGAGATAGGGGTTTGAACTCAGAGTTTTGTGCTTATAAAGCAGATGCTCTACCACTTGAGCCACACCTCAAGTCCACATGTCTTATAAGCAGTATAAATATGTGATGATGAAGAGATTAGCTCAGCTGCTTTGATTGGGTGAAGTTAGAATTGACAAAGGCTGTCATGTAATTGTACTCTGGCAAGAAGCAGACCACCAATGGGTTTCACTCAAACACCATAGACCAAGTTTATTTGTAATTACCTTCTGAGGATAAGGCCATGCCATGGGCTAGTTTAACCTGTGTTAGTCAGATTACGTTTTAAGTCCATTTGAGAATAGTTGAGGGCTGGTGGTATAGTTCAGTGGTGGAGTGTCCTGGGTGCAATCTCAGTACTGCAAATAGTAACAACAACAAAAACCAAAAACCCTTGAAGGATTCGGGACCACATACTCATGACAGCTCTTCCTCCCTGAGACACTCTGCTGAGATCGTCACACACTACTTGAGATTTTCTAATCCATTTGATTTCTATCAGGCCTGAAGAATCTTTCTGGGTCTCATTGCTTATGTTTTGGCCTACTACTTAAATACCTACTGTGTAGTAGTATCATTGAGATGAACTTTCAGATTTCCTCATAAGAGACAGGAATATAGCCTTGCTATATACCCAAGGCTAGCCTTGAATTGCAAATATACTACTTTCTCTACCTCCTAAGTGCTGGGATTACAGTTGTGCACCACCACGCCTGGCTGAAATTTTTAAAAAAATAAGTGTGTATTTTAATCTTTGACAATTTAGAATGGTTTAGCTATAGGTTTTCCTCCTCTACCGTATTTTAAATAGGGCTCTGAAGATTTTTAGAGGTCTTCAGGATAAGAGCATTTTGTGTGTGATACAGTGAAGAGAGTATTGTGCTCATCACCGCAGCTGCTTTGTAAATACCATTTGATCATCTAGTTTTATATAGCCAGTGTCAAGATTAACTCCCTATATAGCGGATTCATAACTACTTTTAAAGGGACTTTTAAGTAATTTTCCTGAGAATTATAGTATATAACTACTGCTGTTTCACTCTTCACTGAATTCCTAAATGTTTTTTCTTTAACTGGGAATTCGGGATGCTTTTTCTCTTTGCTGGGTTTTTTTTTTTTTTTTTTTTTT